AGACGCCGACAACAAGCCACCTGTAGTGAAAAGAGAACCTCGGGAACCCCCATATCTTATTCTCTAAGCGGTAGAGATGAAGTTCAAAAAATTTAATTTGAATTTTCAATATGAAATCAATAGCATATTCTTTTATGAAAAATAATCTGTTTGTAAACAGTCAGGTCAACGCGTGCACATTTAATCAGATTAGCAGGCAGCACTTAAATTAATAAACGCATTAGCATTTGTGTCACTTAATTAACACTTCAATATGCACATTGATTAATTAAATTAAAAATTTACAAAAATAAACGCATTAAAAAATGGCTATCTAGTGTTTTAAATTTCTTTTATATTGAAGAGTTGTTAACAAGAAAGTTCTACAGATATTAAAGACAAAAAGTCAGCTTCCCTTTATAACTTTAACATGTTAAATCAATTACTTTTTATTACTCGGTTAAATGCAAATTGATATCGTTCTAAGGAGTAAATTAAATAAACAAACAATACCCACTTTTCCCAGACAATTGAAATAAAGCGAATTAATTAAATTGATTTTATTGGCATCGAGTGTGTGCGATACTCTGCTCCTGCGGCTTCATTGGATTCCGATACCTATGAAACCGATTGCTGGGTGGGTGCTTTTGGCATTAATTAGCTGCATGATTAACGATAGCACACGATGGGCGGGTTACCACCCCCTTCGTTAAGCCCGCTTTAATTGTAGTTTAACTCTGCCATTGAACCTTGTTTATTTCTCTCCGAGCACTTGGGGTATTATCTCAATTACGGGTTAGCTAACCACCGCCACTCGAAACAATAACAAACTTGGCCCGGTAATTAAATCAAATCCGCCAAGAAGAAGAAAACGTTAGCTTGGCAAATAATACATGTGTGAACATAAATACACAAACATAAACAACAGCGCAATCAAACAACAAACGCTAAAGCCGCTAAACAAATAATCAAAGCTGGAAAGCGAAAATATGTAGTTATTGTGATATTTTGTATCTCTAGGAACGTTTATCTGCACGTGTTCGTTTCACCGAGTTGGGGGGTGGGGGTGTACGGAAAGGGAAAAAAAGAAGAAGAAGAACAAGTCGAAATGCTAAAAATATCAACTGATTTTTTCCGGCAAAAGGTCACGTACAAAAACAAAGTCAAAATTCGACGCCAAAAAGCAAAAGACGCGATTCAAACAAGCAGCAACAAAAAACAAATGAAATTAAAGCAAAATCTGGCAATCAAGCTTACAAAATGGGTAGTGTTTTTTTATGGGCATGTGTGTGTGTCGGTAACCCCAAGCAAAGTCAAGGCCCTCTCGCTCACACTCTCCCCATGCCTTTCGCTTACTCTTTCGCTATGCTGATTAGCTTCGCATTGTACAGTTACTCCATGACCCTGAGCAATGTCAGCCAGAGGCTCGCCAGGGGGCCTTTAAATTAAAAGAAAATATAAAGAAACTAGCAGTCTAACTAATAAACTATAAATTTTATTGGGTTTTATTAGTTGATTTATTTACAGTTATTATTATAAACTAATTTTAAATATCAAATAATGTTAAAAAACTGTAAATTTTAAATATTTAAAAAAAAGTTAAATTAAATTAATTTTTAGCCCCTTTCCTACATAACCCCTTTTGTCACAATTCACCTTATGCCCCTGACTGTAACAGTTCACACCCATTTTCATCTCCATCTTCAATTTTGAACACATAAGTGTGACCAGCCATAAAAAAATAGGTGCAAAATTCGTTGAACGGCAAATTTGATGCTGTTCGCTGTTCATTGTTGCCATTGTTTGTTGTTGCCGGAGATCGTTGTTTGGCTATTCAAATTTTATGCATTGTCAGCGGACAACAACACAATTGGACAGCAAAATATATGTGTGGGAGGGGAGGGGTGTAGGGGCAAAGAGCCGGCTGAACATACAATTCAATTTAACGCTATGCGCCCCGCCCGGTTATTTGGTTTTCTAGTTCAAGTTGAGGGTCAATAGCTATTTTGGCTTGCATTTCGGCCCGGCTTTATATATTTGTTTGCAATTTGTAAAATTGCCAAACAAATATTGATTGGCGAACGAAAAAAGGCAAATGCAAATAGCCGTATCTGCTAAACTCTCACAGTTGCTCCCTACAACTGCCCCACCCTAAATGTTTATATTTAGCCAGGGCAAACTGTACAAGGAGGACGAGGTGAGGTGTTCCTAAGGGCGTAGCCGGTTCAACGTGATTCACTCGCAGGTTCAATGCATCACCAGACGTGTTTTCTACACCTAAATAAAGTATATTGCCTAGAATTAATAGTTTTATAGAGCAATTGGAAAATATTATGGTGAAGAAATAAAAAATAAAAAGTGGTTCATTTTAAATCACTGATTAATTTATTTAGAAATTTATGCTGAATAAATATCCCAAAATACTAAAACATTACAATAATGGTAATGGATTTGGAAACATATTTATTTTTCTTTATTCTTAGTTTTCCTAGACTTATGAAATCTTGTTTTAAATTTTAAGTGAAAGATTATCCTGCAACAGCATTTTCTGCAAGTGCAGCGACTTAATTCAGTTTTCCGACGAGGTGGGAAGGTTAAAGCCACAAAAGGGGCACTACTAAATGGAATACGGAATGGGAAATAAATTAAACAAGGTGGAAAGTGAGGGCTACACGTGACTTGCTGTGCGGCAGATTACTAATTAATGCATAAGTAGACTAGGCAAACAATTATTCGGATGACTGATGCACAGTCATTCCGCAGGCCAAAGGTTCTACTGCCCTTTGCCTGGGTATATTAATTGGCCAATTGAAATGATCAGTTACTAAGTGATTTGTCTACCGTCAAATCAATTTGTATTGAGGTAGATCAAGTCTTCTATCAAAACAGGTTTAATCTTACAAACGATAAGATTTAGATCTTTTGCGAAAATATGGCGGAGATAAATATATGTTTTTAGTAAACCTATTTCCTTGTTAGTGATTGATTTTACTGAAATAAATATTATTGATGAGCCAAACCTTTAACTGACAATTAACCGGAGGACAGAAATCACATGTATTAATGCAGATTTATGCAAATGAGCTATACCAGATATAAATACAATTTTGTTATGAAATTCACTGAACTTGTTTCGCGTTGGATTCTACTTTTAGCCAAATTTGTTTTCGTGAATTTCTGCTTTTTTATGCGGTAAAGTAAGGGAGTTTAAACGTTAAGTTGCAGAAGCTAAGTTAATCAGTTTATTTTAAGAATAGCCAAATTAGTTTTCGTTAATATTTTAATACACCCAGAAAAAAAAATGACCTAAAATGTCAAAAAATGGCCTAGAATTTAGGTAAAATTGGCCTAAAACTGGAGCTAAGTCCTTGAATGGCCTAAAATGTAGGATTGTATGACCTAAAATGTTAGGCCATTAATGGCCTAAAATGGGGTAATTTTTGGCCTAGATTTTAGGTAATTGGCTGCCTTAAAATATGAGAAAACAACTTTCCAAAATTTTAGGCTTTCTTTGGCCTACAAATTTGTACTGAAAAATGTTTCATATTATAAAGTAAATACAGAGAAATTTATAGCTAACTCGAGGTCAATGTCGGCTTAGTCTTCAAGAAGTCGTCATTATTCCAACACACAAAAACGAGCGAAGAGGCTTCACTGTTCAGCAGTGAAATCGCTGTTTTATTCAACGATCGAAGAGGGTTACCATGCAAGCCGCGCTATAACTGGTTGGGAATTATAGCGTCGCTAGAACGGTATCAGAGTTCCGTGCAAATTTATTTAGGTAAAATGCATTAATTTTAAGGCCCACGATGACCTAAAATATTAGGCTATACGGGACCTAAATAGTAGGGCAAATATACCAAAAATTTAAATTTTTAGGCAGTACATGACCTAAAAAGGAACTTTTAGTCCATTTAAAATGTTTTAGGCTATGCATGACCTAAAATGTTGTCCATCATTTTTCTGGGTGTAGGTTTTCATGTTCTTTTTTGGCATTTTTATTTACTTAAATTCTTAGTATCTCTTTCTGGTGATGGGAAGCGCAGTTCAAGGCGGTTCCGGTCGATCCCCGGTGCAGTTCCATTGTGCAGCCCACTTATCATCGGTATAAAGCCATATAACTTTAATGGCCGAAATCGTAGAACAACGAAACCTGGTCTGGGATCGAAACTCGGTCAGACAGATGAGGTGAGCCACTTGCGGTAATGCTGTGGCTACACCGAACCCCTGACTTCAGAGATCCCCCGAGTTTAGTGATCCACAGAGAGCAGGTTCACTGAACTGCACTCACCTACGGCATGGCATTGGGAGTGAGCGAGATGGCAGGGCGCACTCATCGTGGGTGCAAAGAGTTCGACGAATATGTGGGTCAGGCCGACAATTACACTGAAAGTAGGCGGTCCTCAAACCCGTTTACAGTTAACAACGGTAGATGCTGAGAAAGCTCGGCGAACGCAAAGAAACTACGAAATTTGCAGCTCTCTTTGGTTCTCTTTCTACAATTTGCACGACTTTAGATTGCAAGATTGGCTGTAAAATAACAGTACTGCATCCACTCCCTTTCTCTCTTTATAGAATGAAAGTAGTTCTCTTTCTTTTTTTTCACTAATTTAATTTATGGAATATAAAAAATAATGCTTTAAATTAATACATACAAAACCTTAGGAAATTTAATATACCTCTCATTTTCGTTCTCTTTTGCAATTGCAAACTTTTACATTGCAATTTTCCCTGTTATCTCTATTACTCTCTTTCTTTGTTACACTAACAGCAGACGCTCTCATTACAGCGAGAAAGTAGAGAGAAGAGGAAATGCGATCGCATTGCTGTCTTTCTCTCACCAAGCCGCTTGTGATTTTGCTTGCTCTTCCCTCTCCCTCTCCGGCGCACTCAAATGCAAATTTTTACATTGCAATTGCAGAGAGAGAGCGAGGAGATGCGCTGTTGCTCTCTTCTTGTAACGGAAGAACGCAGGCTATAAAAGCGGCGCATGCGCTGCGTGTTTTCCACAGTCGCGCAGCTGCACTCGAAAAGAACACCTCGTCCGGTGGATAAGTTCTTCCAAATAAAGAAAAACCGACTTGAAATCACTGCCACAATGACGGTCAGAGCAACAACAACAACGCAACGCAGCCTCTACATCACGAACGAGGTGAGTTCCTGCTTTGCCAAAAAATATAAGCCACAAAATCAAAGGCAAATAAACCAGCAAACCAACGGAATGCGCCGGCTCGAAATAATTTGTGAAGTCTGCCGCGGGCACTTTTGATTCTGATTATGAATCTACTTTTGATTCTACTTATGATTCTGATTCTGATTCTGATGCTGATTCTGCTTCTGCTGCCGACGAGTGGCACTCCGAAACTGGCTGCTAATTAGTGCTGCCTCATTAAAAGCGAACCCAAAGCGAACGAAACTGTTGCTCGGACACTCGAGACCGCTCTTCAGGAAAAAGCCAGCCAAATGCCAGAAAACAGAAATCAGAAACCAGAGAGCCAGTGCAAAAAGTCGGGCAAACAAATCTGAATGCCCTGCTGCCTTGTAATTGCAAAACAAAAGCCCCATTTACGCCAGGTCAGAGCTTCCTGTCCTGGGCGAAAATATCCAAATTAATAATCAATGAAAACAATTAGCGCGCGAAATGCTTTTGGGGAAAAACTCGTTCCATAAACTTTTGCTTTTGCTTTGCGCTCTAAAGGCTTACGGGTCCCAGAATGCTGGCGCAATATTGGATTTGAAATGATTAGAATAAATTAGTATTCATTTTCGCGAGCAAACAGCTGCCGGCCAAAAGCTTAAAGAAAGCAACAGTAAAACGCAAACAACCAATATCCAGATTTTTGAGTTGCCCTGCGGGCTGCGTAAAAAACAAAAAAAAACGATGAAACCAGAGGCAGAAGCAAATGCAAATTATAAAGAAATAATAATAATAATGTGGCTAATTATGAGTGAAATTTCAGGAAATCGAATAAATAGAAAGAAGAACAAAACAAAAAACCGGTCATTGGCAGTGGAGTGGAAAAGTGGTCAAAACAAAGAGGGAAAATTCAATTATTCAAGAACAAACTTTGCGATTTAATATGTTTTTTTTTCTTTAAATGGAAAATGAAATAAATTTACATAAAATATCTCACAGTCACAATAATATCCATGATTTATTATTTAACTAATGGATATAACTTATTAATATTTATTAGTTAAGTTAAAACTAAAAACTTAAAACTTAACCACTGATAACCATCAATCAAGAAACGCTTCAAGTTTCAAGTGGCTTTAAATAGAATTCAGTCGCTCAGGTGAGCGAACTGCTGCGGTTACCTCATTAGCAAAGTTAAATGAGATTGTGTAACGCCCACGTCGCCCACTAATATGCAACCGAAACTATAATTAAGCTTGGGCGACTGAATAAGAAGAAGACGCCAATTGCCACCCCCGATGGGCGGCAGCCCAGTTTGTTGGCAAAGTAATTAACGTTTATTGGCTGCGGACAAACAAGAAGTTCGTGGGCTGCCGGCAGAAGTATGTATGCATACTCTGCTTATTTTCGTAAATTCAATCTTCTTTTCGAAAATACGTACATATTTATACATATGTGGGTCCTGCCATCATTCGGCCACGCCCCCACAAAATGTGCGCCTCTGCTTATTTGCCGCGCGCTTAGGCCTTTGTTTGTTCGCCCAATATTTGCCCCAAAATTTTTGAGCAAGAATAACAAAAAGATTTTTGTGCGCCCAAGTCAACAGAGTGTCGGTGGCACAGTAAGACGAAAGACCCACAGATCTGTGTGCATACGTACGTAATATACTATCGATGGCAACAATTACCAGACATCGGGGCGTATGCGTGATACTGCTCGTCGACATATCACGCATACGACTCGTATGCAAACGGAAACAGCTTGGCCTGCAAATGTTTTTTCTTCTCGTTTTTTTTTCTCTGTTTTTTTTGGCCAAGTCTGCTGCACAGCAGACCGTAATTCAACTTGGCCAGCTGCAAACAGATTCAATTTGCATTGCGAAATGCAAATGCAATGGTCAGAATAAAATCCCACATTCAGGTCTGGCCTCGGCCAACTTCTTCTTCCACTCTCGTTTCGTGCCCTTTTATTTTGTGGCATTTGTTCGGTTTTTGTCATGCAAATGGAATCTCTCATTCTTACGCACAATTCACTTAGCAAAAGAGGGTGTATTGCTTGATTGGTGGGCTCTTCTATAAATCAGGAAATAGGACTCGAGTCTTTGAGCTCTGGCCTGTAATTTATATTTGTTGGAAATAGTTTCTTATATATTATTAATTGCACATTCGTTACTTTACTTTGGCCAAATCTTCTCAATTTGTCCAACCAGTTGGCTTAAATTGCTGGCATTTTCGTTTTGTGAACCTGGGTCATCTGTGTCTATTTGCATTGTAAATGGGTCACAAAAATGTGATAATTGTATGGAATATTTTAGAAAATTTCAATAAATTTTCCCCACACTCGGCTTAAATAGTTGTGGAAAAGCCTTTCGCATACATTTGTAAGCATTTAAAGAGCAAATAAATAAATGGGGGACAAATATCAGTTCCAATTGATATGCGCATGATTTTATGCTAACGGAATATAAAATGGTTTTCTCTTCTCTATTTTTATATTTCAACTCCAGTGAACAACGAAACCCTTGTTAAATTTTAATTTCTTGTCGTCGCTTCTTTTGTTTTTAAGTTTTCAAGTACAAAGCCAACAGAATATTTTTGACCAACTAGGGTCAGGGCTGAGATTTGTTTAATTATTTGTTTAATTAAGCGGCAGCTTGCGGCTGCATTTGTGTCAGGGCTGCCGCAGAATCTCCGGCGACTTGCGGCGCTTTAAAATGTTCGCTTAAATGCTTTTCGAGTAACAATTAGACAACAGCAATTGCAGGGTTAACTGCCCCGACCCCCTTGAAACTCCGCCCCTGCTGGCCAAAGTCATGGAGTGTCATGGCCCGCTGGACTTGCTTTTGACCTGCTCTGCACTTGCTTTTTATGTTTCCATTTTTGATTGCTATTTTACGAATTGCGAAGCCAGACAGCACAACAAACACAGACAGCCATTGATGGATATATATGCTGGGATATATTTTCGTTGCTAAATGCGGGCTCACAGTCCGTTGGATTTGGATTTGAGTCTGAATTTGAATTTGAACCTTTCGCCTTGGACGGACGAACGGCTTTCGAAATACTTGAGGCGGGAAAATTCACTCACTGCCAAGTGGAAAAACTCGATGCATCCAGCTGAAAACTTAAAACTGAGAAACTGGTTGGCTGGCCTTGGTCTAATCCACATTTCAGAACCTCCAGCCAGCCAGAGAGCCAGCCATTCAGCAACAGGCAGCAGATTCTGTCTCGGATCTCGACTGGGGTTTCCAAACTTGATACTCGACTGTTTGGCCTACGTTTTAGCCATGGCTATTATGGCTGCTGGCCAGAACGAATATCTCGTATCCATGTTTGCACTGCTGCATTGCTGCAACTTGACTTTGCAATCACTACGTTTTGGACCGCCGCACACCAAACAAGTGGCGTTCAAGTGCGGATTGCCAAGATCAATGTGTCGACAGCATGAGTTTCAACAATGATGTATAGCATCATCTCCTTGGCTTGCTCATCTCCTTTAATATGTGTTTTTTTTTTGTATCTATTTTTCTAGATAATCATCACCGCCATGGACCGATTCGTCTGGTTTGTCCTCCTGGTGGTCACAACGCACCTGGTCACCGAGTTTACCCGCGTCTCCGGATATGCACGCGGCCAGCGTCACGAGTTGGTGCTGCTGAACGATGTAAGTAGCCTAAAGCCAGCTGAGGTGCAATTAAAATGTTTACTGACTGACTGACACACAAATTAAACATCTCAAAAGTAAAATATGGCCGATTTCCATGTTATTTTATTTCACATAAAAAGTGAACTAGAGTTTAATTAAATTCTAAAAACACCTACATTTTAAAATTGATTAACTTAAAACAAGTAAAACTTTTGTTTTTTTGTTCATTTTCAACATTTTATAACTTACATTTTATGTGAATGGATTATTTTATGAGGTCATTCATAATCCATATTGAAAAACATATTTTTAATGAATCAAAAATTTTAATTTTTATACATTTAAAGTTTTTTAAAACAATTTTAAATTTAAAATATTTTACCAAAAAATCTTCATAAAAATACTTATGTTTTGAAATTTCTATACCTCCCTATATTAATTTATAAATTTTCCATAAATTATTATAGACATGATTTTTTCGACGTGCAGATAGAATTGAAAATATTTAGCTCACATCTGTTGAATTAATTTTGCCGCGTAATTAACATTCTGGTGACCTTTTCAGACGCACCTGCAGCCGATGCCCGTGCAAAACATGGTGCTGTATCCGAGCCAGGATTATGGGCAGTACCAGCAGCGCCCCTCCTCCGCCTCCTCCGCCCCCGCAGGATCCATGAGCAGCCTGCAGCAGAATGCGGCCCTGCTGTTGAGCAGCTTGGCGGCAGGAGTGAGCCCGGGAAATGGAGCAGCGGGAACGGCGGTTCCCGGGAGCAACGCGGCCATTTTGTCCCTAGGCGATAGTCAGCCGGCTCACACGGCTGAGAACTCGTACCCGATGTTCAGTTTGCGACCCCTGATCGACAGCATTTTCGAGGTGAGTTCACGCCATTCGCCCGCGGCAGTAATCAAATCCATGTTTTACAATCGTTCATCCGAATTTTCGACAGATTCCGATTTCGACGCTGCGCGCTGTCAACAATCTGGTGGGTCGATTGACCGGAGGATATCGTCAGGCCCCCACGGAAATGTCACAGAAATCGGTGGCAGCGGGAACGGCGCTGCCATCAGGCAGGCAAAATCCCACTCTAAGTGCCCATCCCAGTCAACAGCACCAAATGAGGGAGGAGATGGCGTAATTTTAGGCCCCACTTTTAGTCAGTAAACTATTTTGAATGCGTGAATGTTGTAATTTCTGTCAGTGTATGTTTCTAGTGTGTTTTTCGTGTGCATTTTGACCTTTGTGATATATGTAACCTTGCTGTAAGCCTAGTTTAAGGATATTTATGTCAATTCACGAGAAAATTAAATAAAAAAAGATTATGATTATGGAATAAATGTAAAACTTATAAACTTGTGGCTCTTGACATTTTTCCAATGTGTTGAGGGTTAAATAATTTAATTACAGAAAATAATTATATGATTGGTTTTAATATTTAAATACTATTGTGCAGTAAATTGTAACGACATTTGTTTATGAGGAGCTCGGTATTAAAAACTTTTTATAGGTACCATTAAAAAAATATTTTGTTCATATAAAACCATTTAAAATAGCTTACAGGCTTAACAAAAAATATTTACCAACATTTAGTTAAAGAAAAAGTAATATTCAAACACAACAGCATTAGTTAATATTTATTTTAACACTTTAGTTGCAAATGAACATATCAAAATTTTTTGTAATTTATAATTGCTGTATTGCAAAACGCACTCGTCAGAATTAATTAGTTCCTAGAAAGTCCTTCAAAAATGCACTGTATAAAATGTGTTTTTGTTCACATCAGACAACAGTAACGTGTTTACAAACTTAACATGAATTTTATATATTGGCACCCCAAAGCGCTCAATAAAATATTTACATTGTTCAGTTTTTTTTGGCTTATGGCAATGTAAAAACACTGCATACTTTTAGCGAGCGCAATAATATGTTTAATCTTTTGACGTGAGATTGTAAATATGTCGGTAAAAATATCAGTTATTTCATTGATGCAATGCTGTGCAATGGAACTCAATTAAAAAAATATTTTTTATATTTGGGGATTTGCACAAATATTATGACCCAGTGATGGGTCAATAGTCGCATATCAGCGAATTGACAAAAGCCGCTTCCCCATTGAAAAGGTTATCAACAGAGAGCGATGGCACTTCCTGGGATTCAAATACTATAAAGAGTGCTTTCCTACGTAGCTAGAATAAATTAATTGATTTAAAAGTAATGAGATTTCCATTTGGCAAACAAAAAAGTTCTCGCGTAATTAATGTGGAAAAAAACCGATGATGAAAAAGAGCATCAAGTGATTTTTTCAACGAGTATCTGCTATTTCCCAAGGTAATCATGCGTGATTTAAGGGACAGGACCAGAGCAAACCCAATCGGCAATGAATCGAATTTAATTATATTTTCTTTTTTGGACCCTTTTTGGTGGCATTTGATTTCGGCCATCGCATTCTAAATTATCCAGCACGTGCGCTGCGGATTTGGCCAAAATAAAAATCGGAGCCAGAGGCAGAGGCACATTAAAACACACCCGACTCTGTTTGTCATTTGAATACCTAATGAACAAATCGCTGGGACAAAAGAAGAGAGTCCAACGGCGTTAAATTGGGAATGGAATGGATGGGTAGTCGAGTCCAAAATCAGCCAGGCGAATTGGAGAAACCCCAAAAGAGAAAAACATCTATAATGGAAACTTAGCCGAAAAAATAAAAACAAGAGAGAACGCTATAGTCGGGTTGGTGTCCCGACTATCTAATACCCGTCACTCAGCTAAAGGGAGTGCGAACGCTGTGTCGGGTTGGTGTCCCGACTAATAATCGTAACTCAGCTAAAGGGAGTGCGAGGGAGATAGATATACGTTGACAATTTATAAAGCGTATAACTTTTTAATGAATGGTCCGATTTGAAAAATGTCTTCTACATTTCGATAGGTATAAATATACACAACAAAATTGCATTTATACTTCTCGAAAATCTTTAAAGATGTGGGCGCAGGACCCATTTTAAAATCGTTAGTGGGCGATTGTGGGCGTTAGAGGGGGCGTGGCGCTCGGCTAAAATAAACTTGCGCTGCGTAGGAAGCCAAAGAATATGTGTGGGAAATCTCAACCTTCTAGCTTTTGTAGTTTCCGAGATCTCAGCGTTCATACAGACAGACAGACGGACAGACAGACGGACAGACGGACAGACGGACAGACGGACAGACGGACATGGCTAGATCGACTCGGCTAGTGACCCTGATCAAGAATATATATACTTTATGGGGTCGGAAACGCTTCCTTCTAGCTGTTACATACTTTTGCACGAATCTAGTATACCCTTTTACTCTACGAGTAACGGGTATAAAAACAGATTCAATGCTTATTAATTTGTCCGGCTGCAATTGGCAAACCCAATTTGCCTGCAGCTTCGTTGAAGCGTGAACGAAAATAAGACCAAAGCCGAATTTATGGCCAAATTCAGTCAATTGCACACCACTTGTAAGCCAACAAAAAGTGGCCCCAAAAACCGGTTTGCCAATATTCGCCAAATCGGATGCACTTAATGGGGCCTATGAGTAATGTAGTAGTTTTCCAACCATTGTTTGATTCAGTAACTCCGAGTTATGCCTGGCAAATCTGAGGTTAAAATAGATTATCTCTGAGGGTTAATCGATTGCTCATGGCAATGCACTTTGGCTTATGGTTTATTAATATAAGTATTGATTGATTCCTATGAAATTTTAGTTTCCGATTAGTTAAGAAACACAATAAATGAGGTTTTATTTTAAGAACTGTGATATTTCCTATTTAAATTTAATTCACGATTTCTGTCAATTTTTAGCTTTCTAATTTATGGATTTTCTGAAACCTTTTTATTTGGGTATTATAAGTTTGAAGCCTAAATGTAACTTGATTTTTGCATAAAATTATATGTATTGTTTCACAATTGCTAAAAGATTAGTAAAAGTAATCAAAATAATAAAGAAAATATGGATTTTTTCCTTTTCTATTTTATTTAAAGTTTTTGAGAATTTTTAATCTAAAAAAAACTAACATATTCCTTAAATTAAAGTTTTCTCTTAGGAATTTTGTTGTATTTGGTTTCTCATAACTCCCAGAACTTGCCTAAATTTTATATTTTCTAGTGCTGAATCTCAGAACAGACCACTGACCACAAAAACCAAGCTAGTCCGTCATGTCTGAGTTGTTGCCGAATTCTCACCGAGTTGTTAGGACAGGTGCGGGCAAAGTGCTAATAGGTCGCCGAAACACAGTAACACCACATACAGTAAACATTTCCAAAAATCTTGCATCATCATTGCAGCGTCCAGAGTTCCCTGCACATCGTCTTCAAAGATAATAACCTATACTATAATACTATAAGCAAAAGGAAAGAGGAAGCGACCAGAATCAAGTGCGGCTCCTATATAAATAGACGCGTGCATATGAAATTGCGACACAATTCCAGTTTCGCGAGGCATTACAAGCCGCAGACAGTAGACATCAGACAGCAGACGGTAGATTCCATTCCCCTTCGGCAGAATTCAAGTTTAAGCCCGGCTCAAGCCACTCGACCACTCAGTTCAAAGCGAAATCGCGACGCGACAACAACGGCCGCTCAGACCGAGAGAAATATAAGAAAAATATATAAATAAAATTATAATAAACGGAAGGCATCTTAGAAAAAGGTACAACAAAGAGCTGAAGCTTTGTTAATTAATCAGAAACAGAAAAGTTGAGTTCGCATGTGAAAGCCCCGCAATTATGCTGGGCCGCTCCCCTTGATAAGTGCGAGGAAGAATTCTTCGGGACGCGACTCGCATACAAACTACTGACTCGCCTGGAATTGATTCCAATTTCGGATTTTGTTTTCTAGGTGTGCGCAGAATGTTCGTCTTACTTGGAGCACTCTGTCTGATGCAGACGGTGAGCTTGGTGCCAGCCCAGGTGAGTCCTCCCGATTCCGGTTCCCAAAAATTAATTAAGGCAGTCGCCGACTGACACCTGCCACCAAACTGAAGCGCATTGTTGGCCAAAACTCGTCCGTTGGCCAAGTGCTGCGGCTTGAAATTATTTTAATTACTTCGCAGTCAGGCAGCTTTATGGGTTCTATAGGTTTGCGACCGATTTACGTTTATTCTGAGATCAAACTTCTGAGTAAATAAATTGAAACGCAGCTGACTCACTGAAATTCCATCAGCCAGATGATTTTCTCTCCTCTAATTGACGGAAAATTCATCAACTTGATTAATAGATCAATCGATGAATTGCATTTCCAGTCGTTTAGGCAGAGAAAAGTATATAGTAACAAAAATGATTTTTTTTTAAATATTTAGAAATTTTATAAAATATTATTAAGTCATTTACAAAGAGAATAAGTTAATGTTCTAAAAATATTTACTTAAATTTCTATAAATTTTTTTAAAGAATCAACGTACTTGCAAATCAATTAAATAACTTTTCTAACGCGCCTTAAAATAATTAAATAAATAATAAAAGCCAACTTCTATAAATCTTCCAAATTAATTTTAAACTATTTACTGACAGATTACATTAATTAAATTACGTAATAAAAAGAGTAAGAACTTAAACGTTAAAACATACTTTTATTTCATTCTTTTACAAACCAAATTCCTTAATTATTTCATGGAATACGCCATTCCAAGTAATTTCTGTGCATTCAAAAAAGATCCATCTCAATTCCTGGCATTTAGCGAGATTAAATTCCTTGGATTTCCGCCGGAAAAACGATTTATACCCCGTAGAGTGCTGTCCACCACAAAATGGAAATTCTGCATTAGAACCACTGGCCATCAGTTTCGCATCGCGGAAATCAATGCCATTGCCATGGCCTGTCGATGATTTTATTTTGGCTGTGGTCCGTGGCCACAAATTCAGGGGAAACGGCGACAGTGCAATATTCGATTTTAGCGTGAACTTTTTGAATGGCCTAAACCGTTGCACAATGTCCGTTCGGTAATGAAGAATTTTTAGTACGCGATTTCGCAACACGCCGCGCCTTTAATTGCAGGCCAAGGCAAATGCTCGCTCGGTTTTCTTACCTCGTAATGCCTGGATTTTACCTGCAATTACACGGCACAACCATCTAAACTCAACTCAACACCACTCGCTTATCATTAATCTTGGCTTCACGAGCCGCGACCAACTATTATACATCATTTTAATAACTGCCGCTGGTTTAGTGGTCGCCGCTTTAGTGGCCACCTTGAACTTTGGCTGCCTGGGCTAACTAATATCAATTTAATTGCATTTTTCACCACCGATTACTCATACGCAGTGTTGCACACAACTTGCACAAAGGGTAAAATATAGTGTCGGTATTTTATGGTAATTTAGGGTTATAGGCGGAAATATCTTAAATATATCGTGTTTAATGGTTTCTAATTCATTAGTTTTTCGTGGGCATTTAAAAGAGAATGGATGTTCTTTTGTTCTTTTGCGCAATACAATGTCAATCTATTATTATTTATTTTTTAAAGCAAAAATGACTGAATATAAACTTTTCTTAGACCACTTAGGGGTATATATAAAAATACAAGTAAATTCTTTTTAGTTTCACAACTTTTCAAAAGACATCAATCTTTTCCATTTGCGGTTTCTTAAAAGATTTTGCTAGTACCTTACCATTTCTTGTTATTTCAAGTGAAAGCTAAGCATTTGACAACTTTAAGGTGAACTCATCTGACCAAAGGAATTTTCACACATCTTGCCTGAAAATTATATTCTCCAACACACTTTTTCACCCTCAAGCACCTTTTTCTATTGTTTTCTTTCATTGAGATTTTTTTTGTGACAGAAAAGTTTATTTCTGTTTGCGGCTTGAGGGCTAAAAGAAATTAGATTTTAATCAACGCATGCATGAAATTTGCATTTACCAGCTAAATGGAAAAACCCCAAATAAATTTTTTGTTTATGTTCTATGCGGGTCGTGGGAATTGAAATTAAGAGCACACGTAAAAAGTCCTGATAAGGGTTTACCGCCCGACCGGCGAAGGTTACAATTTGAGGCGGCCATTCCCAGGAATTCATGCAAATTATTAGCCATTCACTCCATTCCGTTCCATTCGCAGGCTCAACCAAGAAATCCTTTCAGTTCTTTCTCTATCTTTGTGGGTCATGACCCAAGCTTATGAATTTCCGAAACTGCTGGCGGCAATCTTTAATCTCCCGGTGGGAGAACACAATTGTGAAACTTTACTGTCAACTTAAATTAGCCAAACACAATTGTGGTATTTTGCTGTCAACTCGGAATGGCCATTTGGCGATTTTTATCAGGCAAATGGATGTTCTGCAAATATGGCAAATGGCAAATGAAAACATCTACTACCTGCAGATTGTGGACATGTAAAAACATTTAAATTGTTCCAGGCAAATATTGAACAATGCAAACAAAAGTTCTGCTTATTGTTTGGCTAAATGAATTTGCTCAATTATATATATACAATTCTGTTGTTTACACACCGGTAAAATAATTCAATTATTTAGTTAATTTACCCACCCAGTTTGCCAGTAAAATACAAAAAGTTTTTGCTAGCTTACACAGAACACGAGTACAATTTCATAAAACATTGCTTTGTTTTGGGGGAAACTTTTTAATATCCTTCTACATACTGCGTTTTCATTTAATAAAGTTGATTTAGTTATAACATTTCATATTTTCTCTGTGTTAAGAGTGCTTTTCATCATTTTAAATTACTATAAGTGCGTAGATAGAGCTCATGTTTGGCACTATAAGCTTTAAACGGCTTACTTTGCACTTGGCAGCAGTGGGAAGGAGCTTTTCGAGGATTAGCCGAATTGCAGGGGTAAAAAAGAAAAAAGATAATGTGACAGCGGCTTACAGGTTTCTTTATAATTCGGTTCCAACTTACATAGTTGTCAGCCTCATTTCCATAGAAATATAAAAAACCCGACAGCCTCTAAGCGGCGTCCAAACTTCACAGCCACTTGCAACTTTTCAATTTAAATATTATTATTTTTGAAGCGACTTTTCAGTGTCAGTTGCAAAGTTTACAGTCGAAAGAGCAACTAAATTAGTTTTGTATAAAATTTCGCCATGATTAAAAGTTATCGTTATTATAACGACTACGACAATATTACAGTATATTACAAAACAATATTAAATGGTCGATTTCACTCAAGATAATATTTAATGAACGCTGACGTAGGAGGTTCAGTGTCACTGATGATTACTTTTGTACTTGCAACTCTTGATAACACTAGTTTACAAAATAATATTCTTGGTGTGCTCCCCACCAATTGATGGCAAATTCTGTTAGTCTTGGACCCCTAGATCACGAAAATAGCATTAATTTTTTTTTCGATGGCACAGTTTTTTTTTAAAGATTTTTTAAAGTTAGAAATGTTAAATTTCTGACTTTTTTCGAATTTCTTCTTATATCTCGGCAGATATCCACCCGATTGGGCCAGTTTTAGTTTTATTTTAAAGTCAATAGATCAGAGCTTAACTTTGCCATACAGATCAATATGATTGGATAAGTAATGGCAGCGCAGAAACTTGACAAAGATGAAAAATGTGTTTTTTGGTCGACTGTAAGTCGGCTGTATATATCGTAAAAACTCGAAATAAATCCGTTGAAAAATCATAATGGGTACAAACTTAAAGTTTACATCCTATCGAATAAAACAAGCCGGATATGGCCCAAATCCATGCAAAACTGGATTTATGGTGGATTTTTAAAGTTCATATTTTTTCCACTTTTTTCGGTTGACAGAGTCCAAATTTAAGTTTTATCATAGGCGGCGACATGTAAACAAAAATGAGTGGTGACGACAGCCGGGTCAAAAAATAGCTAAATTTAAAAGATAGAAAATTATAAAATAAATTTAAGTTCTGAAAATTCCTTTAAAATACAAAATTGCTTGCGTTATGACTGTGAGTATTTTTAATTAAGTACTATCCATTTGGATAATTCATTCTTATGAAAAAAGTAACCTTAATTTCAAAAATTAAATTCACTTTAATAATTTTCTAGCTTTTAAATATCTGATTTAGCTATTTAGTGACCCGGCTGCCAACACCACTCATTTTTGTTTACATGTCGCCGCCTATGATAAAACTTAAATTTGGACTCTGTCAACCGAAAAAAGTGGAAAAATATGAACTTTAAAAATCCACCATAAATCCAGTTTTGCATGGATTTGGGCCATATCCGGCTTGTTTTATTCGATAGGATGTAAACTTTAAGTTTGTACCCATTATGATTTTTCAACGGATTTATTTCGAGTTTTTACGATACATACAGCCGACTTACAGAGGACCAAAAAACACATTTTTCATTATTGTCAAGTTTCTGCGCTGCCATTACTTATCCAATCATATTGATCTGTATGGCAAAGTTAAGCTTTGATCTATTGACTTTAAAATAAAAATAAAACTGACCCAATCGGGTGGATATTTGCCGAGATATAAGAAGAAATTCGAAAAAAGCCAGAAATTTAACATTTCAAACTTTAAAAAATCTTTAAAAAAAATCTGTGCCATCGAAAAAAAAATTAGTGCTATTTTCGTGATCTAGGGGTCCAAAACTAACAGAATTTGCCATCAATTGCTGGGGAGCATTTCGGCTGTAAACTAGTGTAATAGCATACTTATATCTATATAAATAGAATTGTTTAAATAAAATTAAATTACAATTATACTATTAAATATAAAACTTCAAATTAAATAAAAATCCTTTTTTTTTTTTGTAAAAATATTAAAAAAATGAAAGAAATTTAAAATGATTCTTTTAAATAACACTTTGAATATAGAATTTTTTGCACCTTAGCTTGCACAGCTGAAAGTTCTTTGTTAATTAGTATTTACAACTTCTAAAGAGCTTACTCCAATAAGATAACAGAGACACCTTATAGCTCCACTCCATAGAGGGACACCTCGAGATGAGCTGGTTGTTCAGGTTTCTCCTCCTTGGAACCCTGAAGCCTCCTGCAATGAAGGACCACAAACTGCTGGCCAATGCCGCCTGCGGTGAGATGAGCCTCGGCTCCTCCGTCCAGATCCTCAACATGTATGCCCGTAATTCGGTAGTTATCGCTGGCATTCTGTCGGAGATTCCCAAGGAGATTAAGCAATTTGCAGGTTGAGCGGCCTGATATAAATCTCACCTGCGAGCCGTAGACGAGATCTTGGCCCGGGGTACTCGGCGTTAGGTAAACATCTTCGGTGTGCAGCACACTGGCGTATTTGTTGACATGTCCCCAGGTGACCGAGGCGGCATTGCCGAGCAACACCTGCCCAGGCAGCAGAAGCACCGACCACAGCAGCCACATCGGAAACATCCAAAACATCACTGGCAACCGCTGACGGCCTCTGAATTCCCACTCCCTCGCTTCTGTCAACATGACAACATGTGTCCGCCCTTCTGGTCTCAGATTGTGATTCTTGTTCTGATGATGATTCTGATTCAGCTCCTCCACCTTATAAGCCACCACCACCTCCTCCTCCACTGCTAGTCGGCGTGTGAAACTCAAATGAGCTGCCGTCAGGAGGCCAAGTTAAATATTGTCGTTGTGTCTGCCTGGAAAAACTGTTATCAGCGTCAGGTGTGTGGGCTCTCTCGTTCGTTCTCTTTTGGCCACAGCCATTTACTTTATTGTCACACTTTCGGTACCCTAACATCTGGGGTAGTATGGAATATAGGGTGGGAATGTTAAAGAACTTAAAACTAAGTTTTTGTCATTCTAAAATGTGCATTATAATGATTTTAAAAATGTAGTTTATATATTAAAGTAGATAACTAAAAATACGTGATCTCAATAAAAATATAAGTATTTATTTATTTTAAAAGCCATTTAATGGTTAGAAAAAATAAGTGAAATGAAGGCACTAGAATTTTAAGAGTTAGGGCATTTATAGGTCACCAAAACACAGTAGAAACTCCAACCCATTTGTTTGCTTGGGTTTGTTGAGCTAGCTGTTAACTGTCACAATTATTGATAACTTCTTTGGAGCTCGCTCGTTGCTCTCATTACCGGAGTTTCACTATCTAGCACAACAGCACTCTCCCAACAATTATCGTTATCGTCGAATCGATGTTGTGTAGCTGGGTGTTATGCCCAGCTTATCTTTAGTTCTTTACATTTTAATTTTCCCTTTTTGTTCTCTCTCGGATGACGGCTAAACGAACTGTGCAAATATTTATCAACAATTCTGAACTGACTGAATGTCTGCGCTGCGAAACTTTCAACCTTCACCGATTTGAGCCGTTGAGAAATTCCGCTTAAATTGATTAACACACAGCAACACAACACACACAAAATATTTACAAAACTTAGTTAAGCGGGCACAAAGGGTGTTTGCCTGCTTTTTCCGCGCCAGGCCAAAGTTGGGCCACAACTTTACAACTATTAGTGAAAAGGACGGACAAAACATCTTGGGCCGAAAAGTTTTCAGAGGGGTAGGGGAGGGGGTTTGAGCCAAATGCGAAGGTCGTGGCTAACTTTGAATAGCATTAAGTATACGCAACGTGCCCAGAACTTTGTGCCAAAACTCTCACATTTTCACATTCCCATCCGCCATAGCTGATTACACTGCGCGACGGCAAGGTGGGCGTGAATTTTGCAGGATTTCACGCGGATGCGGGACTCGGAGGACTCCTAACGGGCAACTCTGCCCACGGCGGACTCAGCGCCTCCGCGGGAACTCCATGGGGTGCGAGGGCAGCCGCCGGTCTCGGTGGCAATCTGGATGGTAAGTGCTGCCCCCTAATTGATTCGATTTACACACACAACCCACTTATTTTCCCGCAGGACGAGCCGCCGGCGTAGGCTATGCCGCCGCCCAGGCAAATCCTTCGGTGGGAGCCAGTGCCCTTTTGGGCGGCAGTGCCGGGGAACGCGGCTATATCGGTGCCGAGGCCCACAGCCCGGGTCGCAGCGTGGTCTCCTCCTCCTCTCAGTCCCACCACCTGGTTCAGCCGGCAGTTCCTGAAAACCCCGCCCCCGCTTCGCCCACTTCGGGTCCTGTCGTCACCAGCCACATCCAGAAGGTCAAGCCACCCAAGAAGTACTCGCTGATCCACCAAGATGTAAGTAACAATCAAGGTTGGGAGTAAATATAAGAAAAGCTTATTACTTTCACAGGATACAAACTAGAAACTATTTCATTATTCATTTTCATATCAGCGGTTTCCGAATTAGGATTTATGTAAATGGTTCTTAGATTCAAGGGGAAAGTTTGGATTATCTTTGGTTTAGGTAGTTTAGTTCTTTTTACTTATAAAATGCTCCAATTCTTTGTATTCTATCTTTTTTCTTTCCAATAAAAACAAATTAATAGGGATTTAAACAGGGATAGTTTATAGTAATTAACAATTTAAAAGAAAATAAATTATAAGAAAAACCGTAAGCAAAATGAAAAATATAAAAATAAAAATATTTATTTGAATGATATTTACCTTTTGAATATTATTATAATTATTCCTTAAGTTTTACAGAATCAATAAAAAAAATTAAAATTATTATTTGAACAAAAAGGAAATATCGCCCAATTAATTTTTTTTATTTTTATATTTTTACTCTTGCTCAAAGTCCGAACAAAATTGTGATATTTTTTTTTACTTCTTATCAATGTAACCCAATTTTTAATTACGCACATACAAATTTTTATGAATTTACAAACTAGTTTTTTTAAGAGCTCTTAAAAAAGGTAACCAAATATCAGCTAGTTTTAACTTTTTACGCCAGCTTACGTTTAATTTACGATGACTTTAACATCCGGTTAAGAACAATCAGAAATGTATAAACAACTCAAAAAGTAAGGCAATCGAAAATTTTATAGAATGTTTACAGGAAATCAGGAAGTATTAAAAGTGTTTTGCCCAACAGTTTTAAGCATCAGTTTAAGTCGAAAAGTTTTCTAAAGGATTTTCAAAAAGTGAAGTTATCTCATTTCGTGTGAAACTTTGGTGGTAAAGTAAAATTAAAGGGAAATCGAGGCCAAAATGGCTTTTCAATTGCGCAATTCGTGGCAATAAATCCGCAATCCCCGACTAGTATTTAACTAGGACGTGCGGTTAAATATTGATCAATGCCCTCGTGTCGGCGAACCAACAACAAGCAATCAATCCAATCCAATGCAATCCACCCCTCCACGCCATTGATGTTTTAGCCGGACCGCAGCGAAATCATTGAAAATCATGTTAAAGCGGCCGCAGATGCCGATGCGGTGGATAAACACCCGCCCACCGCTTTTCCGGCTTTTCCTGCTGCCCCGCCCACTTCGTTGATAATTGTCAAGCGACCACGCCCACATGCAAAGCGACAACGTCAGCGGCAACGTGTCGTATACGTGATGCAGCAGCAGCAGCCGCAGGAGCAACACATTCCCGAGGAGGAAGCCCAAAAGGACGAGCCGCAGTCGACCGTTGAGGTAACACCAACTGCGGTGCGGACATAGATACACAGATACTGATACAAATACACCAGCACACAGATACTGGCCTGCACACACACACAAAACAAATTGTTGGCTTTTTGGTGGAGAGCTCTCTGGAAGCCAAAACTTTCGCTTTGAGGCTGTAATTTTATTTGAAAACATTTGCGGACAATGTAGGCGGTGGTTGGAGGCGGGGCCACCTGCTGCTACCGTGGCAATATTATTATTTCTGTGAAACATATTTTAATACAATTTTAATTTGCAAACCCCCGCCCCACCTGCATGTGATGCCCTCTCGTCCTTTGCAAAGTAATTTCGGTAACTTATGAATATCTTACCGTCCACAGGTGAAGAGCGAGGCCAAGGCTGTCCAGGTCCACAAGTACAAGTCCGTCCAGCGACCTCAGTCCGTGAACAATCGCTTCCTGGCACCTCAAGCCCAAGGACCCGTGGGTCTGGCCCTCGATGTAAGTTTAAATAAGTGGGGCATATAAAGCATAGCTTATGCAGAAACGCCATTCAACCAATAATCCATTTAAAATAAGTTGCTTTTTTAATGAATAAGAAATTCTGTGGCACACCGGAATAACATATATTTTTTCAGATCGTTAAAACAAAAAAAAAAAGTATTTTCAAAAAAACATTTTAATTTTAAATTAAAAAAATATGATATATATGCACATATTACAAAAATATCATAATCGATTGACACTCAAACCTTTTCATTTCTAAAGAAACTTTCGCTAATAAAAAAAATAGTAAAATCCAATAAAAAATGGAAATAAAATACGCCATTTTGGAAAAAAATGATTTCCCGGAAAATAATGTTTTGATGTCCAATGCGAACGTTTTTTAACTATGGGCTTTGATTTAATGCAATTATGTTTAAAAAACTCAGCTATTAAATTAAATGTTTACCTAAAATTGTAGTCCTTTAAAAAAATTATATGTTTTCGTGGATTTTTTTTAAATTAAAATATTAAATAAAATATATATATAAAATCTTCTTTTCAGATCCCCATTGGCATCCTGCGTTCGCTGCAGCAATCTTTGGGCGCCTTAACTGGTGCCGTAGCCCCTGCCCCTGCCCCTCAACAACCTGCAGTTGCAGTTGCAGCTGCTGCGGCCAACGCTCACTAAGTTCGAAAAATAACTAGAATTATAGTCACGGTATTTTTAAGATCCCCTTAATGCATAAAACAACCAGTGGAAATTAATAAAGCGTTTACGCAAAAGACAAAACAAATTTGATTGAGTAAAGATAAACAACGAACTAAATATGCCATCACTCAGCTGACAAAAGCATTTTGCAAGCTGAGAAGGCAAATAATTTTAAGGCTCAGTAAGCACAGTAAATACATTTCCAATAAACTATTTAAAACTTATCAATGTAATAAATAAAGCTCAGTTGCAGTTTAAGAAATTGTGTAGATACATAAAAGTTAACAAGCCAACAAGTTTTTTCATTGTGAAAAAAACGGATTTGCAAAATCCCACTTATGTACACTTGCGATTTAATTGATGTGTACTGTAACATGAGTTTTCCTTGGAATCTTCTTGGCAAATTGGTTTTTAGATAATTTCGTGAACTAATTGAAAGTGTTAAAAGCTGACACGTGTTGTATCTGATGTTCACCGCTTTTTCTGCCGAAATTTCAAGTAGAAAATCACAGGCTGAGTCGAATTTCGGCTTATCCCCTAAGCACTGCACACACACACTTTCCTGGGAAGTGTCGAGAAATAATTAAATGTTGTGTACATACTTTTCGTTCTGAAAATCGAATGGAAAATCAAGCTTCCGGCTTATCCGTCACTTATTTACGTTGGTCAAAGCACTTAGGCACTGGGAACTCTTGGTTTCCAAGTGATTGCCTGCCAGTAGAACTCAACTCTTTCCTGCCTTGTTTGTTGTTGATTAAAAGGGTCTTTCGCCATTAAATCAAATGCCACAACACAATGCAGGGAAATGAATTGAAATGGCATCCGCATATGAGGACGAAACCACATATTGCCGACAGGAACTGAGAAAATTCGCTGGAAAATTCAAGTTGGAAGGCACAGGGCCTGTTTATTTAGGAAATGTGTGTGTTCTAGTGTGTGTTGGAGATCCAGACCTCAGACAAGATACGGCACACACACACTATACCGTACACCACTAAGTGTGAGAGAGCAAAATATTTCACACTCTGCAACCGCAGGCAGTTGGGTGCCCCAAATTTAGATGGCGTGTATGCCACAAAATGGAGAATGGAGGGGGGAATCACACGTAAATGAATGCACGGTACAGACTACAGACTACAACATGCATTGTGTGAATGTGCTTAAATGCTCGGGGCTTTTATGCTCTTAACCCCTCGAAAAGTCACGGCTTGTCGACTGGCCATGGGGTCAGTTTGTTTAGGCACCCGGCATTCACATCCTCCAGCGGCCATAGTGGCCGCTATTTAAATTTCTTAATTAGTGCTTGGCCGACAATTTATTGCCCGTTAGTCGTTAGTCGGTGTACTAAGCACTCAATGGGTAGCCTTCATGTAGGTATGCCGGAGCAACAGGCTTGTATGGCCTCGTGCATTTTTCCTTCACTGTAAAGGGGACAAATTAAATGAAAACAGGAAGGAACAAGCTATTGTTGGCTATTATGCAAACTGGAAACAGATTGCTCCTTGTCGAGGCTGTTTTTCAAGACAAAGCGACTGGATAAGACTTTCATTTCAGTCTTTTAAAGCTAGAAAGTTCTTAAATCTTCAGAAAAACTCTTAAAATTTTGTAAGGCATAAATTTTAAAGCTCAGTAGCTAGAAATTTACAATGCTAATTTGACTTATTAGCAAAAGGCATGAATAAATCACCCTCCTAAAGAACCTAGAAGCTACACCAGAAACACCTTATGTCCAATTAATAAGCTCGCATATATCACTTTAATTAAAAATAATATCCCTACTAATTTTGCTCCAACGAAACTCAGGATACCGCAGATACGCTCATAACTTAAATTTCTTTAAAAACCAAAAAATGCCCCAAAGATATATGGCCTATAATGTTATGCATATAGACATAGTTGGGTTTTTTATTATACGTGTGGTGGCCCAAAATCAACAGGGCGTTTTGTGTGTGTTTTTTTTTTTGTTGCTCTTTTGCCGAGGAGCCTGAAGGAAAAGCGGAGGAAAACCAAGAGCCCGGGGTCAAAGGCGGCGCAACTCGAGCTCGATTCGTGGGTCGCGGTTGCCTCATTAAATTTAACGCACGTGCCGCACAAATTATGTTTACCCACACATACAGACTTGCACTTATATACTCACACACACACACGCACGCAGTGTCCAACTGACATACATTTAAACATTTTCCTAATTTAGAGTTCGGTACAAAGAAAAACGTTAGTGGAGAATTGAAAAGGTTTTTGCTTTTTATTTTGTCTACAATTTACGTGGGCCTCAAGAACGAATGAATAGGTGGTAGGTTGAATCATTCAACAAATGTACTCACCCACACTCAACCTCACACACTTACACTTGCCCATCTACAAGGAAACCACACACACACACACTTGTGCTTATTAAGTTGCCCGAAGGTAGGCAACATAAAATTTCCGTAATTTCCCAACGAGGACCGCACTTCAAATTGAGCTGTTGAACTTTAAGTTGCAAACGAATCGAATTTCCCACACTTATATACATACCTTTTCCCATTTTTCCACTCTGCTTAATTGGAGAAAGCTAATTTTCTCTCGCTTTTTATTTGCCAGCAACTAATTCGCTTTTGATAGGTTTTCTAAAGGCAAAAGTTAAATTTTAAAGTTGCAAATAAATCAGAGCTAAAAGTACGATAAAATAAAAGATTTAGTGTAAAAATGTAATTAATCCTATTAATTATTAACAAAAGTAGGTTTCCATATACTTGATATTTAAAGGTGTTTTGAACATTAAGCTAAATTGTCATTATGTTTTAATTTTAAAAATTCTTAGAATGTTTTTTATTTTTAAAGTAAATTGTTTTCTTAGAAGGTTTTTTATTTTTCTTGAATATATATTATTTAAATTGTTTATTTAAAGAAGTTTTTTATGAAACAAATATTTTAAATATATTTACCTGCATATTTTATAAACAAACTTTAATTTTTTGATTGTAAATATCATCGAATCATATACAGCACCAAAATCTTTTAAACGCCGGAGGAAAATCGTTGCCGGGGACAACGGAGCGTATGCTTGATGTTCAACTTCATCGCCAGGTAACTAACTGCGGCAGTTATAAATATTCAGTGCCCCGGCTTACGCAGATCGAGTGCGAACTGCTAGAGCATAAATATTCATAAATTCAAGGGGACCTTATGTGGGAGTTGCAATCCTAAAAAAAATCAAAACGCTTCCAAACTTTCGAGTCGAGTCGCTGCTGTCGCTCTTCATTAAAGTTTTCTTGTACCTAAGCGGGGCAAATGGCTGTCCACATTTGCACGTGGCAACAAACAAACAAACAAACAAGCAGCCCACACAGTTTTGTACATATCCACATGAACAGTGTACATACAATACATGGCATCCAAATATGCGCTGTCTGTATTATTAATGAGTCGACTCCATTTAATTGAAGCAATGTGATTGCGGCCATTGCGACAGGTGGTAAAAGTGGGCGGTGGCTTGCCCTGATCCCAACGAGGCCGAAACACCTGCCATGTCTGGGCATATGCAAATTCGGTTTGCCACGTGCTCCGGGCTTCGGATTCCTGGATTCCTGGATTTCTTTTTCTTCCCCCCGGAACGTGGCCCCCCCGGCGGCTTCCTTTTCCGTGGAAATGTCCTCTTGTCAACTTTCAGTTCGTGGAAGCGATATTCTTAGCTTCAGCGGTTAAATTATGCGATTCTACCACAAGTTCATTACATTTTTAACCAGAAAAGGGAATTCATACGGAAAACTATTGTTTTAAGTAGGACTTTTAAATAAATATTTAAGTTTATTTTCCGAAATGTAAATTTAAAAAGTCAAGCTCAGTAAAGTAATATCGAAATATGTGCATTAAATAAAAGGTAAATTAAAATAACTAAAATTATAATTTAAACAAATATTAAAAATTTAAGAAATCTGTTTTGGTACAAATTTTAAATTTGTGTTTAAAAAATTTTAAAAATAAAATTAAATTAAATTAAATCTATGTTTAAAAGGAAAGTAATAAAAACTATTTTTAAATTAAATACAATCTTATATTTTTCAATTTTTTCACAAAAAACATTTCTTAAACCCAATTTTTTAGGTATTTCCGTCTTCGTTTCGCAACCTCTAAAATCATGGCACTTTAAATATTTTATGTTAAAACGTAAATAACCCAAACTAAAGTGTGTTCTGGGAACCCTTTATTTTCTGTGGCAACGCAATGAATAAAAGGGAAGGTATGGTCGAATGTACAGCTCAATAAATGGTGTACCTAAACTGCGAATCGTAAATTTCCTTGAGCTTAAGTTAACCGCAAATACTGAGAAACTCTGTCAACAGGTTCTTGCTGAAAACATTCATTTTCTTTTTCCCCTTAAGCGAATGCGGTAAGCAAAAAAGGTATTTAATGTTCTACATTATTCATTGAAATATTGAATTGATTTTTTTTGGAAATCAAAAGATGAAAATTCGCGATAAACCGCAAAAACACAGACCGCAAAATCTCTTTGGTCCCGAAATAACACAGATTTGAATCCAAAATAATTTAAGACTGCGGCCAGCAAAACGATCAAATTGCAACCTTTGTAAAAGAAAAAAAAACAAACAGCAAAAAGCCGGAGTTGAGTTACGCTGAAAAACGCGCAAAAATCGGAGGGGCAAAAATGTTTCCGCCCTTCGAGCTCCGCTGTGCAGTGCCTTTTGGTAATAAAATCATAAATCCCCGGACGAAAAGTGGGGGAAAAGGAAAGGAGTTGCCAAAAATACGGACTTCGGGTCAGGAAGCGGAAATTATGTTGGCCTGTCTTGGGCTTAACCTTTGTCTTCTGCGCTTTTTGCGTCTGAATCCTCGAATGGCGCCATGAATGATTGCAGTTTAAACTCCACCCGAGCTCACTTTTACACTTTCCGCGGAGTTTTTCCTTTCGCCTTTTCCGCGCCACCCCTTTTATGATGCTCCTTTCGGCTTGGTTACATTTTTATAGCTGCAACAGCAGCATAATTAATTTCATTTTACGGCGAGGCGAGTTGGCGAAAATGCATAAAGTCAATTAACTGAAAAAGCAGCCGGCGAGAACGGGAGAAGAGCCAGGGGCAAATCCCGAGGAAAGGATGCTCCCGAGAAGGACCAGGACCTCGATGGGTTGTAGTGGCTTAACTGGGCATGCCGTAAATAAATCAACGGGTCAAGTCGGCCTCGGGCATAAATTCCTGCTTCTTTGGCCAGAGAAGTCCATTATCCGAATGATAACTTGTATACAAGTGCTGATTCTCCGTGTTCACTGAATCTTCCAAGCGGAGCTAATGAAATCCAATTGAAATGAATTGTTTCCTGTGGAAATGCAGATTTACTTGCGTCGTGCTTTTCGTTTTACAATTATTTAAATTAAGGTCAGTAAGGAAATATGCAAGGGATTTACGCATTTAGGTTCATTCAGAGAAAGCTGCTCTAATTATGGAGTTTACCGCATTATTCGTTGTTTAATTAATGCAATTATCCAATAGTTTATACTGGTTTATGGTAGTTTATGCTAATAATGTTCCTCACAAAAATAATTATTTAAAATTATATACATATCCCGAATTAGAGTCTTTGTTACTTGTTACTCACAAAAATAATTATTTAAAATTATATACATATCCCGAATAAGAGTCTTTGTATAAGTTATATCTTATAGACATAGTTGTTTCATTATTCTTATAATTCATAATTTAAATCGAAACTTACCTACAAGCTCCACAGTTTAGTAAGCTTAAAAACATTTATATTTATATTTTTGTATAGAAATTTTTTTAAAAACATTTTTGGTACTTAAATAAATAAAATAAGTTAGTAGTTTGTTTATAACATTTTTTTCAAATTCGAAATAAACCAAGAACCGTTATAAAACAGCGTTGCCACCTATTGTCTTAAGAGACCAATGCAGCAACTGGTCACCCTAACAGCTGATTATTTAAGATAACAACAAAACAAACGAAAGCAATTCGCGGCCGGCTTTTCTTTTTGCATATATTTGCCTAATTTTCCTGCTTAAATAGCTTTTCCCACGGAAAACAACCCACCAAGTTACTTGCCAAGTCCTTCAGCTCTTGCCTGAAATGAGCCAACACGCAGCGGTCAACGAAGGAAAGCGGTAAACAAAGAAAACGTGAGTAGGTGGCGGGGGTGGAAAAGCGCATGAAAACGCGGCAATGTTCAAACGGCGCTCGGATTTTCCACTCCATTCGAGTGGCAGCCGAGCAGCAGAAAGGACACGCGCCGCGCAACGCTGGGAAACCAAAAGTTAACCCCGTTGGACCCAAACAAACCATAAATCTCAGCTAACCCGCAGTTGTGTTTGCCATTTTTCAGCACCATGGAGGACTTTGCGAGCATAAAACCCAACAGTTCGGTGGTCAAGTTGGCCGCCTGCCTGGAGAAGATCTACACGAAGGTGGTGGACAGCCGGGTGAAGCAGTTGCCGGAGCACCAGATCAAGGAAATAGAGTTCCTCAAGTCGCAGTGCAAGCACGACCACATGCAACTTAGTTTGATGAGCTGCCAAACGCTGGTGCGCCTGGTGGACGAGGGCCTCCTGGAGGCCAACGGGGTGCAGAACAGCCTGCTCTCCATGTTGGCCAATGCGGGGTAACTAACTAGCTGGCCAGAGAGCCCGCCCACGACCCACATATGTAGGGGCGCACCTCTGAACTTCCGGAGGGCAGTAAAAGCAGCAGGAGAACTATCAACCTAAGTGGAGCGCAGCGATTCCAATTGCAAAATTGCCCGCGCAGGTGCATAAATTACCCAGGCATCCCCAAGCTCACTGCGCCTGTTAATTAACGCGCCATTTAACGCCTGGCCACCAAGTGCTCCCAACATTGTTGACCCCTTCTTCCGTCGACGGACACGCAATCCCTCGCATTTCCGCTGGACGCGTGCCCCAAATTAATTGCTTAGCACTTGGCACGTCATGTTCGCAAATGTGCAAATGAATTATGACTCGAAGTTAATCCGAAATCCCAGTTGTTTTGGCCTCAATCCGCAGTCGTCAATCTTCGTGGCGCCGTAAAAACTATTAACGCACCCTCTACTCCCACATATCATATCCTGCAGCCTTGGCTAACAAATATTTGATGTATGCAAAGCAAAGCAGCTGAAAAGTCTGACATTGAACCTGAAATGTTTGCCGAGCGGACGAAGGACAAACCAGCGGTCATGTAATGCCGGAATTAACCTTGATAAGGCAGCCAAGTCGAGCTGCAAGTGCAGGCAAAAAGGATTGCATATTAATTGGCCTGCAATTAGAGGCCAAACCGAGTAGACCGCTGGCCAGAGCGTGAATTGTAATTACCTCGTCAAACGCAAAGCGATTTACTCCACCTCCGTCGTAAAAAAGAGTTCCTCGAATCCTTGACTGCTGATTTGCGGCTGCCACTCCGGAAGTGTCCGCTAAACGGCTGTTACAGTCGTTCCACCTTAATGGTATCGCGGATTGTATATGTCACTCATAGTTAATGTGTATTAGGCTCTAATCTTGAGCTCTGTTAATTAGAATCCTTGGTTTTTAACTCATACTAATCCCTATCCACTTTTCTTCTAGTCCCATGCACTTTGCCATCATCACTGAGAGCATTTTGGGTCTCCAGCTGCTGAATTTGCAGCGCAAGACCTCTTCTCTCAAGGATCAGGAGTCCTACCAGTGTGCCTATGGCCTGAAAACCCAGCAGCATCCGCTGATCTCCCTGCTGCAGCACTCGAGTGCCAACATGCATGATGTGGCCAACAAGATTATTGGCATTTGTCAGCATCACGATAAAGGGTGAGTTGTATTTAACTTACTGCTTAGCTAGCCACTTATCATATATCCTAAATTCCCCCTCAGCATTCGGGACTACAGCATAGAGTTCTTAAGGCCCGTCTTCTTCTACGTAATCTGCAATCCCCAAACGCTGCACGATGTGAAGCCCATTTGGACGTGTCTGCTGAATCTAAGTGGCAATCAACCGGAGGCGCGTGCCATGATGCAGGAGCTGCTGGCTTGGAGCAAGTTCAATAATGCTAGCACTTGTCTATGCACCAGCATCCTGGTCATTGAGGCCATCGATCACTTTCTGCAGCGAGAGGATCACGCGCAGTCCATTGATTTGGCGCTCTATCAGGCCTGTCTCATTAAACAGCTGGCCAATTACGGCATTGATCCGCGGCCGAGTCTGCAGTGCCTCCTTCGAGTGCTCCATGCCACGCGGGAGCACACAAAGGATCACTATCACGTGCTGCTGGTGCTTCTCGCCGAGGTTTTGCATGTGCTTTCCCCCTTTTACCTGGCTGATGTGCTGCGCATCATCGTTTTCGTGGTCGTGCAGGAGGGCTGTGGCCATGAATACATTCTGAACATGTGTCTGGACGGAATTATTCAGTGGATGTCTCAGACTGCATTCATACCCGCAGAGGGCTTGGCTTTGGCTCACCAGATAGTCCAAAGGATACTGGATACGAATCAGGAGGGGGAAATAATCTCCACGAAACAATTGAAACCCGCTCATATGCGCAACTATCACCCGGACATTGCGATTGCCTTTGACTTGGCTACTTTGGTGGAATCTTTCGATGCCTCCGACAACCAGGATGTGTTTGCCTTTGTGGACGCCCTGAATGTCAAGGCGAATACGGCCTTTTGCCAGCGACTGCATCTCTTCCTGCGTGCGCTATTCCTATCGAAAAAGCCGCCCGTAGATTGCTGGTTTAAAATCTACGAGGTGATCCTGCAAATCGTCAAGGTGAACGAAGGTATAGCCTACGATTTCCTCATGACCTACATCTTTAAGCTGGCCCACGAAAACAATCCGGAGTTGCAGCTGGAACTGCTTAGAGGATTGGCCAGCTTTGCCGTGTCCAAGGTGGGCTTATTATTATCTTTTAAATTCTTGGTTATCTAATAATAATTTATTTATTTTAAGGACAATGTACCCATGATACTCAACACTATAAGGAATCTATCCACCGAGAATGGCACCTTCTGCGTGGATTTGTACCTGCGCTTGTGGCGAGTGGAAGCGCGTACTTATCCCTTCCTTTTGAAACAGATTGCCCAACCACTGCCGGATAATGACAAACGCTGGGAGCTGCAGATAGCCCGCACCCATGCCATGCGGGAAATCTGCCAGGAGAAGTAACTATAAAAATCAAGAACTAAAAATAATCATTATTTTTGATTTTTTTAACTTAAAAACCAGTCACTTATAATAGTCGGAAACTACTACTATTTAAATAACCTCCGCAATGATCATGGTTTTATGATTTTTAATTGATTTTGCTCAGAAATAATCATTATTGTTGAGTCGTATAAATATGTATCAGGAATAATCATTACTTGTAAGTGAAAAAAATATCGCTCACAAATAATCATTATTATAAATACATAGTAAATACATAAAAAAAAGTTTATAAAATAATATCGCTCACAAAATAATCATTATTTGTAATCAATATTTTTTTTCACTTACATTTAAATATTATTCCTGATACATATTTATAAAACTCATAAATAATGATTATTTTTGGGTTTTTTGAAAATCCCTTATAATGATTACGGTCCCTGATATAAATATTACTACTCTATGAACTATCTAACTAAGTGATCCTTCCTTACAGACCCACTTTACATGGCTCGGAGTTGCTGCCGCATCTGAGCAACACCCTGAACAATTCCTTCGACAAGGCGGGGGATTTGGCCACCTCCTTGGCCCTGGATGCCATTTACGCTCTGTGTGATAGTCACACCGTAAACATTGCTTCCACTTGGCAGGCGCTGGGCAGCAAATTCCGGAATGAGCAGCGGCCACAGACGCTCAAGTCGCTGTATAAACTCTTCGGTTTGGTTCCACTGCTGCAGACTCCTACGCTGGAGTACGAGAAGCTGGCGGATGATGGCCTGGAGCAGCTGTGGCAAGCTATAAGCAGACCGGGAACAGATGTCGCCCAGGTGCGGAATGCCCTGGCTGCCTTGAAAAACTACGAGCCGGGAGTTACCTTAAACCTGCGCCACATTCCGGCACAATTTCGCTTTGAAATCGTTGGAGGAGGAGTGGCTGTTGGCCGGGAAATAGTGGATCTGCAGCAGGAATCGGTGCCCGGCGAGGTGTGGGTTCAGCTGCTACAGAAGATTCGGCCCGAGTGCGGCGATGCTGCGGCGGATTTGATTTCCCATCATATTGGCAGCGAGATTGGCGGCTTTCGGAGCGGAGTGTATCGCCTGCCGGAGGGAAAGCCGGAGCCACGCAAGCTGGTGGGCTTGTTTGCCACAAGTCCACTGCGAGCAGTGACCAATTACCTGGTGAGCCAGGCGCGCTTCGGGGATTACGTTCCGGAACCCTATGCCGTGACCTTTGCCCTGCGGTCGCTCTCGAAAAAGTTTCCCAAACCGATTCCTCCGCTGGACTGGAGCTGCCTGACGAGCTTCTTCCACTTGTCCTTCGATGCGAGAAAGTATTGCATTATGATAGCCAAAAATCAGGCAGTGAACTCGGGAACTGCCAAGCGTCTGTTGGAGAACTTTCTGGTCGACTTTGAGCCCAACTGCTTCGAGGAGGATCTGCTGCTGCTCTTCTCATTGCTGCCGGAGATTGCCAACAGCGTGAGCCTGCAGATCCTGAAGAACTTTGCCGAGAAGGTGGCCGTTTACTGCTTTAAGGAGTCGCAGCTGAATGACTTTGTGGAGGGTGCGTTTTAAATTAAACCTGTATTTTACTTTATTAATTATAATCTTCTTGCAGGTTGCTTGTTTGAAAAGTTCTTGGAAAGCGTCAAGTACATTTTCACCGGCAAATGCGACATTCCCGAGGTTTTAGATGTCTTTACGCTCATTGTGGAGCGCTACATGGACTCGATGAATCTGGATTCGCGGCTCTTCGAACGCTACACCGAAGTGGTGGCCACTCTGCATCCAAATGCGATTGATGGCCTTACGACTCCCGCAAATTGGTGGGAGACGCCGGTGGGCAAGCTGAAAAAGGCCACCATCATTCGATGCTATTTGGTTTTGTACAACGAGAAGCTACCGAATCCCCTGAAGTGGCTCACGCCCATTATCGATGCGTATGAAAAGCGGGCGGAGGAGAGGCCCTTCTTCTATCGCCACCTGTCCGCCACTCTTTATGCCTTTGGCAGCGATGAGCACTCGTCCAATTGGATTTCGGAGATGTTCTTGGAGATCCAGATGCTGCTGGCCGAGGCCTCCAACAAGGAGAAGGTTAACAGGGCGCTCTACTTGCTGGACATCTTTATCCTGGCCGTGGATGTGCTCTCTGGCTGCGCCGTTCTGCTGGGCAGCGTGGATGTGGTGGCCACGGATGACAGGCAGCGACTGTCGCTATTCCCGGAGAGCTTGCAGTACCTGTGCGATCACATCTTTTGGAAGGATCAGGAGGCAAAGGTTTGTAATTATAATCCTTAAACCCTTGAAAAATACTCATGTAAACCCTTACAGATCTACGAATTCCTCTTCAATCTCTACAAGCACACGCACATGCCATCCAACTATGCCGATGTCTTCAGGGAGGCCATCATTTGCTCCCGGAATAAGGCGTATTTTGATAACAAGGGCGTCTGGACCAAATACGTAGGACTGCGTAAATGAACACGACGACGAACACTCACCGCATTTTAACCTCCCTCTCCGCCCACGCCTAAAGTGCACTTGAATGGCTAAAGCCCCAACCGCCTACCGTCAATGTTAGTCAATTTTTGATAGCAAACGCGTTCTTTGTTACTCGTATGTGTTTAAAGTTTAAACCTTAACGTACATTAAATGCATTTTTGCGCACAAAATTTGAATTTGCCCGAAGCTGCCAGATGGGCGGAAAGTGTGTGGCCACTGATTACGGTTAGCCGATAACTTCGGGGGTGGTTACTATCGACTCGAGCACACCCCTAGTTTGGACTATCGTTTTGCAGAATTATTATTATTCCGGAATATTTATTAGAAAAATGCAAAGAAATTAGAAAACACGAGTGCATTTTACCAAAATTAACGTCGCTCTTTTAAGTGAGCTTGCCAACCGGTTGGCAATTTAGTGCAGAGTGATATTTAAACGCTTGTTTTTACGGGAGGCAACAATCAAAACGTAAACAATGGACGAAATAAAGCTCGCCAAGGTTAGTTATCAGCTTAATCAATGCGATAGGGTTAGATGCAGTCAGGGTCATTACACGGCGACCATTGCGGAGCACCTGGATGGGCACCTGTGAAAGGATTGTGACTCATCCGATGGCCATTCGAAAATCGATGGGTTGGGTGTTTCACCTGGAGCCGTGGGAAAACCACCGGCTACTCCGCCCACACTGTCCCACCCTACGGAACCCTACCTCTCTAGAAAAAAAAGAACCATCAAAGTCCCGTTTTACATCTATTTATGTGGCCCCAAAACATGCGCATAGAATGCAAAAGTAAATAAGTTTCGACCCCGCTCTCTTTCCAGTTAATTCAATCAAAATCACACCCACACAGGCGCACTGTGAGAGCCCATTTTTAACCGTGAAAATGTTGTTCATCCAAATCTGCGAAAAGTTCCCTCAGCATCAAGTCCCAAATCTAAAAGGGATGTTTCTGTAGACTCCTTCTTGCCCTTTGACGTGGCCTATTTAACTAGATTCGCATTAGGGTCGTCAGTCGCTTTACAGTTTCCGGAAATCACCGAAATGTGTTACTTACTTGTGTTACTATAAAATACTTGTTGGATTTAACTATAACTACATTCAACTATTTCTTAGTATTACTTAAAAAATTCAATAAATCAAAGTATAATTTGTACTTTGTATGTTACTTGTCTGCTTCTGAATGCCGTATTTCTTGCAATTCAAGTAAATTAAGTATTACAAATTTTCAACTTAATATTGCTCAATTTTATTCTTGAACATCTTACTTTTATAGAATTTTTTGGTTTTTTAGTTTTAAAAGTGTGGAATTAAATAAATAAAAATTTCATAAACGTTGTTAAATAGAATATTAGTACTAAAAAAAAAAAAAACTTAGGTTTTAGAATTATAATTTCGATTTTTTAGTAAATTTCTACAATTTTAGGTCGTTTTCTAAGCCGAATTAATTTAAATTCAATTTTAAACTTTTTTATACATATGGAAATTTATAGTTTGTCAAACAAATTGGAAAAAATTACCGCTGATTGCCATAGCTAAATTTCCAAAATATTTTTCTGACTTTTAAAAGTATTTCTTATGAAAAATCTTTCTGTTTATTCAGGAATTCATACCATTCCTTAAAGGATATTCAAATATACCAAACAGTCTTCTCCTTCTCCTTCCTCTCAAGGATAGAGAATTTCCCTTTTGTCGAATTTCCCCAACACAAAAGCATAGCCCGCTTTTTAAGCGCGCGCATTTCTCTCGTTCATTCGAGTTCTGTTCCAACGCTCGACGGTAGCACTTCGCGCGCTCTTTTCCAACCAACGGAAAACCTCACACATATTCGTATAGGAAAATCACACAAAAAGGCACATCAATTTACAGTGTACTTTCGTGTTTCGCGTTCGTTTCGCCTGGCGAAAAGTGAAAGTCTCAAGTTATTTGGCACCCACACTGCGACAATTCCGTTTGATTTGCTGCTGTGCGGTTGCTGATTCAAAATCAATAAACCAACCAGCCAATAATGGACTTCACCCGATTCATGAACAAGTTCAACGAGATCGAGCGCCAACTGTCCCCCACCTCCGCCCTTCGCCTGAGCTTCGACAACATTTCGCCGGAGACGGAGGAGCCGCCGGATGGAAACAAGAGGCTATGGGGCGTGCCCGTCCCTCCCTTCGTCTCCGACAAGGTGGTGTCCTGGATCGAGGAGGAGTTCAACGAGGCCCCGGTCTTCTACAACGGCAACAGTGTGCTTAAGAAGGTACCATTCCTATTTTCCTTATGCAAATCACGTCGGGAAAATCGTACTAATTTTCCGTTTTACGCATTGCCACCGGCTAGTGGCCGGAAAATATGCAAATCAGCAATATGTTTAAGGGGCCCCCGAAAAACCATTTCCTATTTGGGTCAAACATACATATAAAGGAGCAAGTCCTTGCCATCCCGACTGCATCCGGGCGCCATGTGCGTCACCACAATTCGCAATCACTCCCTGGGCCACCCACAAAGTCTGACAGATTGTTGCATTGTCAGCAGGACACTCGAGTCCGGAGCTCGGGCAATTAATGGGATGGCTTTTCCATCAAAGTCGCAGTTGCACTTGCCACCGGGAGGCAAATTGTACTCGTACATCAAGTATTCGCCACCGTGAACTGCAGTCGGTCAACTACAAAGGCTGAGTTTTAATACTATTTCCTGCTAAAATGTCGTACAAATTGAGTTAAAGGAAAAATGTAGTTGTCCGAACTTGGTTGGAAACTAGCCAAGATAATAAAGGTCAATTTATAATTAATGCGTATATTTCTGTGACAGATTTGTATGCCATAAGTTTAGATAATATATTTGAAAATAAGAAATTTTCATTAGAATTTCATTAAAAACTCATTTTGCTTTAATCCTAAGGATTTATCTGCATTCGTATATCACTCATACCAACTTTTATAATCCAGGCTTATTTAGTTTATTTTCCAGCAGCCGTTTCCGCCCACATTCATTTTAGTAGCTTATATATGTGGGTTTTACTTTGCTAAAATAAAAACTAAATATATTCGCCCATGCATCAAGTATACGCCACGTTGCCAACATGCTAATAGCCATAACTCTTCTCCTACATATACAATCTAATTAAAATTAATCGAGTTTAATATACGTGTTTGTGCTCACAGACTTAAATGATAAAAGGTCAGTCTTGGTTAGGCTAATTCGATTTTAGATCAATATTTTAAAGAAGGAATTTTAAAGCAGTTTGTTATATAATAGAAATTAAAACATATAACGAAAAGTATGTGGAATATGTTATATGTCTATGCGGTTAGTAGTAACAATAATCATAGGACATGACTCATTTAAATGCAGATAATTCAAGGAGGTAAAGAAAATAATAATATTGAATTTAACTTTTTAAACAGTTTTTTTATATGTCCATGAATATTGTGTAGATAGTTTCAAAATATTGTTTTATTTAAAAAAGCAGCCATGTTGACAAATATCCAAATATCCAAATAAAATAAATGATTTTAACCTATCTTTAAAGTAAATCTTTAATATCAAATCAGCTTTAATTTGCATGTTAAATTGAATTGTCTGCCCGCTGGGCGAGAGTAATGAACTTCCACTGGCTAAATCAGACAATTAACTAACCTTATCTATCCCGACAATGGACCCGGCTCAAACAAAGGCCGCCATCTAAGTGACATGAAAGGAAATTAGTCCGATGATGAACAGCTCTCGGGACATGGAATATGTATGTAGGCCTCCTGGGCAATAAAAACTGCCGCAGGCAGGCAAAACGGAAAAATGGGGATGGGTAAATCGGGGCCTGAAGGACCATCAAAGGAATTAATGTGCTGGCCGGCTGACGGTTTTATTTAATGGCTGAATACCAACTAACCGCAAGGGCCTATACTTATTTGCTGCTTTAAAGTTAACATATACCGAGTTCTGATGAATGTTTGATGAAGTTCTTCCGGGGATTCGCTGAAAGTTGATTGAAAAACTTTCCTTCTTTCCTCCATCGTGTCAATGCAGTTTATTTTTTATCGTATGCAATGTTTTCGAACGAGTGGGTTTTCGCGAAACTATATGGATTCCATTGACGTCAGCGGGCAGAGCTGAAGTAAACCATTTACAGCTGAAATTTAAACCGAATTGTAACCATTTTTCTCTTTTTCTGCCTCTTCTGTTTGTGCAGGTGGAAAATGTGCGGATGATAGATCGCTACAATACCAAAAATCCCACGGTGGGCACCCTCTATCTGACGGCCACCCATTTGATTTTCGTGGAGCCCGACAGCAACAAGGAGACCTGGGTAAGTTTTTCCCCCTAATGACATCATCAATAGTACTGTACAATCCAAATAAAAACAAGAAAGGAAGCTAAATACCCTTGCAGCTCAGTCTTATTAAATTAAAATCTATTAAATGTTAAATTTTGTATTATTTGGATGTTAATTTTGTTATACTTCCTATGACAGCCTATGACACATAATACAGTCTTCCGATTATTGTTAAATTTAATTTTAAATTCTAAAATATTAAAAAAGAGTAATATCCCAGAGTAGAAGAGAATACAATAAAAACAAACGAAGATAATAATTTGTTTTCTATTAATTTCTCGACTATATGATATATTCGTCCGATTTTGATAAAATGAAATTCGAAATTCCAAATTATTAGAAAAAAAAGGGAATTCTTAAGCGTAGGAGGTTCTATGTCACAAAACTTGGAAGCTATAATTTTATTTCCATTATTTTTCCTCTCCTTACTATGGGAGCTTCTTCTTCTGCAAACTTTTGACTGAAATCAATATACCCCCTGCAAGTGTAAAAAAAAAACTTCATTGTTAGCTAAGAACTTTCTCAGCTCAGAGTGGCGAATGTTTATTTGCGTGGCCCACAAAAACGTTTTGAGTGAGTCACCTTTGTGCTCGCAAATAAGTCTCCTTCTGGCAAACGTGCTCAAATGGGTTTCTTTTCGGTTTAGCACCGACCTCGCAGCTGTCAAAAAGTTTAAAGCCCCTTTTGAAAGCGGCAAACGGAAAACAGAAAACCGAGTGATGTCTGAGGTCCGCTGCATTTCCGCCTCTTCCCCGAGAACGAAAATTCCGAGGATGAGGATGAGTGGGGAAAAGTTTCTTTTAACAAGTTGCGCCAGCATGTTTCAGCAGTCGCTTTAAGTTCCGCATGTGTTTACCCAGGAATTTAATTCGCCTTCTGCAATCTGGCGCACACAGAAAAGCGTGTTGCGTATACGCCCCATTGCACACATACAAATTGAATATGTTCGGCTTTTGTGTACATTAATTGCACTGGCTGCTGCAGCTGGAAAACTCTTTAAATTCTGTGCACGAGCGGATGGAAAAGCTGTTGCAGCTTACTGAGATTATTTATCCTGCCAGCGAGCTGCATTCTTTCCGAAATTGAAAGGATAATGTGACAATAAGCTGAGCTGGCTTAGCGCTGAAATCCTTTTGACACACCCACCGTTTTCACTGCTCAAATCTCAGCACATGTAAGTGTAAGTGCCCCTAAATGCGTTTAATTATTTCAACCGTGTGAGTTACGAGTTACACGCTGCGTATACGTAACGCGGTTTTGGGCCGGAAGCAAGCATGCATTGCATTTTAATTGCCACGCCAAATTGTATTAATTATGCACTCCCCGGGGCAAAATGGTGGATCCGAGTGCCACAAGTGGCCCAAAGGAGCATGGGATCCACGAGTTCACCACAAAGTGGTTAATTAAAAGTAAAAACACTAAGCTGCGCCGTTGAAAGGGGGAGAAAAACCAGAGAGAAAGAGATATCGATTTTCTGTGCCATTGAAAATTGGTTGCTTAGTTCCTCATAATCCAGCTGCTTCTCCCTTTTCACCCCCCCTGACTTACTGTCCTCTGCTTTTTTTTACCGCCCCGCCACTGGGGCGCATCAATTATTTAGTGGCGAAAGCAGTTCTGGCCAGGCACGTAGTCGGGATGGCCAAAAAGGGGGAGTCAGTAAAGTTCTGTTGGGGTTTCTCGAGCATTGCATAAGAGCAGCCTTGGGCGAAGTCACGGCCATAAGCTTCCTCACTCACAAAAGGAGAAGCAAGTTGTAAGCAGCAATCATCTGAGTAGCTGGCAAATTAATCTAAATCCCACAGCTTTAATAGCCACCCTCATAAATTTATAGAATGCATTTAATTCTCTGCTTAAACTGCCTTTACTTTATTACATACACCCACAGAGAAAATGTGTTAAGATCAATTTGATATGCCTACCATTTTTATCATTGAGAATTAAAAATAATTATATTTCCTCGATTTATTTGAAAATTCTCTGATGGATTAAAAAGGATAAAAACAATCAACAGAGGGGAAATGTGTTAAGATCAATTTGATATGCCTACCATTCTTAGAATGTAAATTTAAAAATGGTTATTCTCTTAAAGCATAAAAGGAAGCAGAAGATAATGGATAGAAACAATAAAATCAAAATCGCTAGAATTCTAGAACTAAAAATTAACTTAAATAAAATTATATTTATTTATTTTTAAATACAAAATATTAATTTCCATGAATTGTTTTTTCAGATTCTCCATATGCACGTGGCCAGCATTGAGAAGCTTCCCTTGAGCACAACAGGATCCCCGCTGCTCATCCGCTGCAAGACCTTCCTCTCGGTCACCTTCGTCATTCCCAAGGACTCCGAATGCCACGATGTCTACACCTCGCTGCTAAAACTTTTCCAGCCGGGTAGGAATTCAAAAACAAGAAAGAAAATCAGATTGCACATTCATAAAACCACAATCATTTCCCGCGGGCAGTGTCCATCAACAAATTGTACTGCTTCAACTACCAGCCGAACAAGGATGATTTCCCCAAGAATGCTGGCTGGGATTACTTTAAGCTGGAGGCCGAATTCAAGCACATGCTGGTGCCCAACGAGGCCTGGACTCTGTGCTCGATGAACGAGAAGTACGAGCTGTGCGACACCTATCCGCGTCAGATTTACGTGCCTAAGGAGGCCACCACGCTGATGCTCATCAGCAGTTCGCGGTTCCGCTCGAAGGGGCGACTACCAGCGCTTACCTATCTGCACAACAACAAGGTAATTAAAAAAATTATACAAAGAAAAAAAAAATCGATAAGAAATAGGGTCATTTCTACCTTATTTCATATCAATAAAAAGCCGATTATGATTAATGTCAAATTTATGATTCAAACCTATCAACTTGATGTTTTATCATTTTAAATAAAATACCAAATTTAGTATTTTTTTAACAAAAAATTTAAAATGGATAAACATAATCTTTATTCATATCAAAATAATATGATCTTAATCTTTAAAAAATATTAAATTGACAAAAAATTTTAAATAAGATAAACATAATCTGTGTTCATATCACAATAATATGATTTTGATCTTTTGTCAATTTATTTTCTGTGTATATGAATCTTAATTAAAATAAACCTGTACTACAATTATCCTTTTAATCCACTTAGGCCTCCATCTGTCGCTGCAGCCAACCGCTATCCGGATTCAGTGCCCGCTGTCTGGAGGATGAACAAATGCTGGAGGCCATACGCAAGACGAACTCCAACACGGACTACATGTATGTGGTGGACACACGACCACGGGTGAGTGATAGAGAGGAGGGGAAAATTCCCCTAGAGGCTCTTAGCACATGCAAATAATCCATTTACGCTGTCTGCAGATTAATGCGATGGCCAACAGAGCCGCCGGCAAGGGATACGAGAACGAGGCCTTCTACGAGAACATCAAATTCCACTTCCTCGGCATCGAGAACATCCACGTACAGCGCGCCAGTCTGCAAAAAGTCCTGGAGGCCTGCGAACAGAAGTCGCCCACGATGAGCGCCTTCCTGAATGCCCTGGAGTCATCCGGCTGGCTGAAGCACATACGCTCCATATTGGACACGTCGAGGTGGGGAAAATTAATGTGTAGTCAGCAGGGTTATTATTAAATCAAGATTTCTTTTCCCTATCTAATAGCTTCATTGCCAACGCCGTGGACAAAGGTGTCTCGGTGGTGGTCCACTGCTCCGATGGCTGGGATCGCACGGCCCAGGTCTGCTCGCTGGCCCAGCTGATGCTGAATCCCTACTACCGCACCATCAAGGGCTTCCAGGCGCTGATCGAGAAGGACTGGCTGGCCTTCGGGCATAAGTTCAGCGAGCGTTGCGGTCACATTCAGACAGATGCTCGCGAGGTTTCGCCGATCTTCACACAGTTCCTCGACTGCACATGGCAGCTGATGTCGCAGCGCAGCGAATCCTTTGAGTTCAACGAGCGTTTCCTGCTCATCCTCCACGATCATGTGCACTCTTGTCAATTCGGCACCTTTGTGGGCAACTGCGAGAAGGATCGGCTGGACTTGAAGCTGGCCGAGCGCACCTTTTCACTTTGGGGCTTCATGGCCAATCACCTGAACGAGTATATCAACCCGCTGTACAAACCCAATGTGGACGATACGATTAAGGCTAATTTGGCACCGCAGTGCATCAAGTATGTGATGTTTAAATTCATCAAAAACCCTGAGTAATTTATGCTTTTCTTGACAGATTCTGGCGCGGCATGTACAGTCGCTTCGAGAGCGGCATCCATCCGCGGGAGCCACTCGGCGATCTGCTGCTCGACAGCAAGGAGCACTGCAACTCACTGGAGGACCATGTGCAGCATCTGACCAAGCGCATAGCCAGCTTCAAAAACTACATCTCCAAGTCGGCCAAGAAACTGCAGGATGCCACCAGCACCACGGCAAAAGTTAGCAAAGAGGTCGCCAGCAACGAAATCAATGATAACAAGTAGGGATTAATAACCAGGAAAATATTTTCTCATATCCTAATGAAATTCTTTCCCCACTGCAGATACAACTATGACAAAAAGCTAAGCGAACTGTCGGCTGCCGATGATGATCACCCGCTGAAGGCCAGCAACATGTCCTTTGCCAATCTCTCCCTGAATGCCGAACAATCCAGTCCGCCGCAGGCCTTGCCCGAGGAGCTCAACTCGGTGGCCGTGGACTGGAAGCCCATGCGCAACGTGACCACCTGCTCCTGCTCCACGCCCTTCGATCAGTTCAGCAAAAAGGTGGGTTAATCAAGAAACTAAAATAAACCAAATGATTAACCCTTCTTTATACCCGAACAGACACATTGCTGGCGCTGTGGGGACATCTTCTGCGAGCGCTGCATAGACAAGAATGTGGCTTTGCCAGGACACGACAGTGGAAAGCCGGTGCCCGTGTGCCGCGGCTGCTTCCGGCAAATGCAAAAGCAAAGCCCGTAGAAAGGATATAAAGCAGCATCATGAAAATGAAAACTCTATTAATTATATTGTGTGTATTTATTGTTGCATTTGTAGCTGTAGCTGCTTATAGAAGCTCATTCAAGTTGTTGCAAATGGAAATCGAAAAAAGAGTAAAACCAAAAGAATCCACTAGCGATTGGCTTCCAGGCATCGTCCTAGTCTCTAAGCCGGGCACAAAACTGTATTTTGTTGTTAGAATTTAGTGCGACTAATTTGCCAATCACCCCCCACACACAAGAGCAAGTACAATTAAATGCAAATTATAAATGTAAAATAAATGTAAGATTCAAAGGGGGACCGCTTTATCAAGAGATCTATAATTTCCCAAGAATTGCAGGACTCTGAATGTACAGACACTTGCGGCTTAGCCAGCTTAACAGCGGTCCCCGACATCAATTATATATTCCACTAGCATTAACTTGCAAGCAGGGTTCGGAAAATAACACACTCTGTAAAAAACTTGTGTTATTTGTTAAATGTCAAAGTGTTAAGTTCGAAAAAAGTTATTGACATGTGTGTAAAAAATTGTAGCTTACATATGTTAGAAACATAAATAACATACACAGGTTATTTGTGTTATTTACACTACGTGTTTTTAACACGAAGTGTTTTTTACACAACGTGTTTTTAACACAATGAGTAAATGAGAAATATATGTTTAACTGAAAAATACACGGTTTTCTGTTTGAAAAAATTCATATATGCTTTGAAACCGTTAAAAATAACAATTAAGATATTGATTCTTCATTTTCACTTCGACTTGTTAATGGCCATAAAGTGTAATTTTCATTTGTGTTAAAAACACAGTGTGTAAAAATACGTGGTGTTAATAACACATTGTTTAAACAACACAAGTGAGCTGTGTGTGTTAACAATTATTTTCACATTTTACCACTTCTGTTTTTGACAGACTTGTCGAAAACTTTGCTTGCACTATAAAATACAATTTTACATGTTTTTAACATGTGTGTTAAATTCTGAGCCCTGCTTGCAAGACACACCCGTAAATTATGAAAACTATGCAAACTTGTTTATCGATTTGATCAAAGTGTAATAAAAATTATTTATTCAACAACTGCGAGTCCAATTTAGTAGCCAATGTCGGGCTTGATGCGCAAAATGACGGGAACACTGGTGCAGGGCAGGATGGCCACTTCGGTGACGACGGCGCTCACCAGCTCCGGCGGCGTAATGTCGTAGTTGAGGTTCAGGGGCATCAGCTTGCCCTTGGCCTTCCAGTTGTTCAGCTGGCACTTGTCGCCGCGCACCAGTTGATTGGGATCGCTCAGCTCGTTGTACACAATGGCGTCCGTCTGGAAGCGTTCGCTGAATTTGTGCGTCTCGCAGCACACGAGCACGGGCACATTGTGAGCATTGGCCACCAGGGCCACCTGGGCGGTGCCCGTGCGTGCCATTACATAGCCGTTGGCCAGCAGGGCGTGGGCGCCGAGCAGCACCTTGGTGGCTTCAGCCATCACATAGCCCACGGCGTTGATCAGCACGTAGGTGCAGGGGATGCCATGGGCGTGCAGGCGGCGCAGCATCTCCTGACCCTCGCAACCGGGCCGCGAGTCAACCACAATCACCCGGAAGGCCACCTGGCGCCGCTTGGCCTCCTCGCAGATAAACTGGATGAGGGAGGAGCAGGCAAAGGTCAGCAGCACATCGCCATCGGTGATCTTCTCCTGCAGGAAGCCGCTAATCGCCTGCGCTGCCTTGCCGATTTGATTTTCAATATATGTATCGATGAAGTGACCCAGCAACTCCTTTAACTGTTGATTTAAGGGGTTTTAATTAAAGGGAAAAGCACTTGATTTAATGAATCTAACCTCCGTTTCTGGAATATCCGCTGGTAACTGTGTTAGTTGGTTCTTAAACTGTTTGTAGGCATTGGACACGGACACAGCCAGCGGCCGGCACTTGTGCAGATGGTCAACGTGGTGTTTTACTGCGGCATCCAAGCTGCGACCGAACTCCTTCTTGGCGGGCGTCTCAAAGTCGTGAACCACCTGGCGCAGGGCGTGCAGAAAGGCAATGCAGCGGGCATTTGAGCCGACCACCGTGCGCTTGGCATACTGGACACCCAAACGCGCTATGCTCGGATGCACGAGCGGATCGTTGATGAACTGGCTGTCTTCCTTGGCGCAGACGAGGTGATTGAAGAGCTTCACACGGCACTCTCCACTGGGTGAGCTCGCTGGACATTTGCTGGGTGAGCTGCTTGTGGTGGCCGCTTTCGTGGGGGAAACGCTCTCCCGCTTGGACTCCTTGGGAGGAGCAGTAGGAGCCCGGCCAGCTGGCTGGGGTTTCTTAGCCTGTCCTTGGGCCTTTGCCGCCCGCTGAGCTTCCTGAATGGCCCGTCGCTCCGCCTTGCTGAGTGCTGGTTTTTTCTGCGTAAAAGAGTAGTTGTAAATCTTTCAGTGAAATGTATTTTAAAGGCTCAAACCTTTTCCTGTTCGTCTTCTGTGGCTGGAGGAGCAACTTTAGCCGGTACTTGAGGTTTTTCCGGTTGGCTGGTGGCCTCCACTTTGGCTCCAGCTCCTTTGCCAGCTTTCTTAGCCGCCTTTTTGGCCTCTCGTTCAGCCTTTATCTGTTCCCGTGACTTTTCACCCGCCTCCGCATCCTTGCCATTGGCCACCGCCGGCGGTGCTGCCTTGGGAGCCACCGAATCTGGTTTCTCCTGGACTTTGGTTGTGGTCGTGGTCGTCAGCTTGGTGGTAATGGTCGTCTGCTCCACCTCGGTGATGATTTTCGTGGCCGGAGTGGCGGGAGCAGCAGGAGTGGCTGGCTTATTCTGTTTCTTGGCCTGTTTGGCCAGCTTTTTGGCCTCCCTTTCGGCCATTACTTGGTCACGCGACTTCTCCGGAGCCACTGCATCCTGAGTTCCGGGCATTGCACAGGCAGAATCGGTGGTTGGGGTCGTTAGTTGGTTATCTTCCAGGCGATTTCGTTTGTTGCGCGGTCGATTGCGTTGCCTTTGCTTCTTGTGTTTGGTCTTCAAGGTCTGGACGTCAGTCTGTGGATTGGTAATACAGAATTAGTTCAGGATTTATGATCATAAAAGGTCATTAAACTCTATAGATCCAATTCGAAATCAAATCGGTAGACATGCAAAATGAAAAACTAAATTTTCGCTATTTGCTACTTGGGTACATAGTGAATTTCACTCAGCTGAGTGAGGCTAGCTACCTGTAGCACCATTTCGCTAGTTAAAACCATTTTGCAAGCTTGAAAAGAGAGAAACAAGGCAATTTAGGTGGAAATAAGGATGTGGAAAGGTTAAAGGTTCAGTCTCCTCTAGCGGTGTTACTGAGTTCCAGGCTGAATTTTTGGGAACTTAGTAAGCATTAAGTTGAGGTTAAATAGTTAATAATTCTTGCGAAATACATACACTTACCTTACTGTTTTTAGTTATTATTTAAATAAAGTTAAAAACTTACTTTTGCTCACGATGGCAAAAAAAAGTCTACCAGCTGATAGTGCTGCAAGTCAATCGATAACCCTTTCGATAGACAATCGTAAACACATGGAGGGCGTTGCCAGAGTGGCGTATTTCAACTGCATTTTCTAGTGCTTCAGCAACCCGACGAGTTGGCATTCCCATAGCTGTCTTTTATTTGTGAGGTTCGTATGTTCGTCTGCCGCTGCTGAAAATTACATAATTTTTCGCATAAATTGAAATCCTTTGCTTCGATCCCCTGCAGCTCTGAACGAATCGACTACCATGGCCGACAAAGCTGCTGCTGAGAAACCCGCCGGACGCCCCATGCGCTATCCGTACACCTTCTCGGCGAAGATAGCCCAATTCCCCATCAAGCACTACATCAAGAACCAGTGGATCTGGCGCTACTACTTCATTGCGGCCGTCGCCTGCGTGCCCGTCTTCTACAAGATCAGCAAATTGGGTGAGTTTAATATCGGTTAACCACTTGAGATCCTCGTTAATGTCCTGTTTTCCTCCCATTCTAGCCAACTCGCCCGAAAACAAGAAGGCATGGGCCGAGTCCCAGGCCAAGGAGCATGCCGAGCACCACTAAATTAGTCTTAATTATCGACATTTCAGAGCTGTTTGTGTTGGATTTAACGTGAAATCGGCGAATAAATGATTTGAATGGAGGTTAAAATTGATTTTTATTAAATAAATATCCTAAAAATCTCTGGCTAAAAACGGTCTTATTATGCACCTATGACACTACGTTAAATAATACGAAAAGCTTATTTTTTAAATAACTTGGGGGTCAGTTGAAGCCTCGGGAGTAGGAAATTTGGTCTTCGTCGAGGGCATAATGGTTCCTTCTCAGTATAAGCCCATATTCAGGGGTGTCACAGAAATCTCTTCCAACCGAAGACGGTTGGATTTTGCATTGATGCACGTAAGAACTTTAACGGATTTCGGTTGGAAATAATTTCTGTGACACCCCCGATTATAACACATTTTGAAAACATCTGGGTGCAAATTAATCCTCGAAACGAGCTAGACCTTCCAACAGGATAACGATCCTAGGCATACGCCGCATATCGTGAAGGACTGGCTGCTGAATTACGCTCCTTGTCAATTATTTTCACCACCACTAAGCCGGTACATAAGAATTATAGACCAGGATTGGGAAAATTTGAAGCAAAAATTTTGAAAGTTCTATGTAAAAAATCGTATGTAGACTTTTGTCAGTGCAATTTTTAGGTTTTTTGAATATATCTTTTTAAGTTTTTGTTGGGGGTCGTATGTAAACTTTTGTCCGCAACTGTATGCTGAGTTGTAATGCTGTTAGGTTATGAAAACAAAAAATAATCTTTCCTCATGTAGGAATTGAACATGGGTATTATTGTATAATGGATGGAAAGGCTAACCGCTCGGCCATAGTCTGTGCTTTTTTTAGTTCGTTAAACTATACTTAGAATGCATGCTGTTTTTATTAAAGTTCCGGAGCTCAAACGTGACGGCGGGGAAACGAAAAAACTATCACATGGGAAATATTTTTTTAAGTGTTTTTGTGATTTTTGACGAAATGAAATCGTTAACGAACAAAAAAACTAAATCATAGGAGCATACAATCGTAATCGATTACGTTTTCTGAATTTCTGTGTTTGTGATGAAATGCGGAGTGAACCCGATATTTTTTAATTATTACATACCGGTGGAATATAAATAAAATACAATATTAATTTACATCAAAAATTAAAGTGATTGGAGAAATCGAGATTAAAGCGTGTACAAGGCTGTCGTGCGAAAGCAAAAGGAATTACTTGGCGTGAAACTCTGGGCAAACCGAAAACTTAACTGTACTCCACTTATTTAATTATAAAAGGTAAATACCTCCTCCGATTTGTATATGGCACAATATTAATTATTTTTTTGTTGTTCTAAGCATTTTTATAGACGGAACACGGAGCTGGACTTAAATAAAATAATACAGCGCCATTTCCTACAAGCTTATGGACCGTGCTTACATGCCGCAATGCTTTTGTAACTATATATTTCAATAAATGTCTTGAAAAAATAAACATGAAGAATGAGCACAAAAAAAATTTTTTTCCAATTGGGAAAGGGTCTTCTAGGTATCGTCTACAAGTGTCTTCTGAGTAACTTCCAGAAGTGACTTCGGCGACACTTCTACAAGTGACTTGCACGATATCGCATTCGGATCGCCGAAGTCACCCCCGTCGGGAAGAACTGTTCCACTAAGGCGACACTTCTAGAAGTGTCGCCTAAGTCACTTCTGGAAGTGACTTCCGCGATATCGCATTCGGATCGCCGAAGTCACCCCCGTCGGGAAGAAATGTTCCACTACGGCTGAAGGTTGAGATTTTAGGGCACATATTTTTCCTTGTATTTTTTTAAGCCTGTTCACCGCATCAAGTTGGTTGGGAATAGAGGTGAACAAATTACTTCAATGGCTCATAGGCTTTTATTAACTCAAATAATGATGGAACCTTAAATGCAATTATGTAGAAGGGCATCTAAGCAATTTTTTTACAACTAAGCACAGACCCTCGAAGATATCTTAAATGAAAATATAAAATGTTGCTACTTTTTTCAAACCGCGATTGCACAAATACTACCCGATAAACTCGAAAACTAAGTATGCAGATATGCTTATATCCGTCTATATTAACACAATTTAATGCCCATAGGGCTGCACCAAAAACACTGTTGGCCTGTGTTATTAGTCGGGACACCAACCCGAGTACAGCGTTCGCACTCCCTTAAGCAGAGTGACGGATATTAGATAGTCGGGACACCAACCCGACTATAGCGTTCTCTCTTGTTTGTTTTTGTAAAATGTGTTCTGTCGTGTTTCTATCTTCCAGAAGTTACTAAGAAGTGACTTCTGGACGATAGGAATGAGACATAAAGTTATAAAGAAAGGTCGTGTTTTTTCTGCGCTCGTCTAAGGTCAAGTTTTTTCGCGTTTGAATAAACTTCTACTGGACAAAAACCTTCTCAAATCTTTATCCTACCATACTAGCCGGTCAATTTGTTCAAAAACCATCGGACAACATAATATTAAAGCCGCAATAATAAAAACAATTTTGCCTAACGCGACCGCACACACACCAACTTAATTCAGAGTCCGCTTGCTCCAAACCACTCAACAGAGCAAAACAAAACACTCAAACAACAAGGAAGCGGACCACAAAACAAAATAAAATAAACGACACTGGAAACAATAGCAAAACTTTTCGCACTTTTGAGATGGTTCTGCCGGAAGGAAAACGCCTGAAGGAGACCTCTGGCGCAATCCACAAGCGAGGCCGACCTTCAGATGCTACCGTCGACACCACCTCCCCAATGTTAATCGCGGCGATGAACAGCCGATTCGAAGAACAGGCCATTCTGATCAAGGCCACCATGCGGGAAGCCGAGGATCGAATGCTCAAGGTGCTGCAGGCAAAACTGTTGGATGTCACCACCGAGATGAAGCAGATGGCCGATCGACTTTCGCTACTGGAGCAGGAGGTCGCAGAACTACGGCCACTGAAACTCCAAGTTGGAGCCGTGGAAGGAAAACTCCAGGCGCAACGTGCTGAAACCGAAGCATGTGCAGTACGTATGCATGGGGTTCCTTTTGTTGAAGGGGAAAGGCTTGGATGGCTCTTCAACAACATAACCCCAACCCCAAGAGTTCGCGATATTTTCAGGGCTCGAAAAATGCAAAGTTCGCTGGTCGACCCTCCAATCATTGTTAGATTGGAAACCACGAGGGAAAAGGTAGCCCTTCTACGCGCACTGGGCACCTACCGGCGATCAAATCAACAACAACTGACCATTCACTTGCTTGGTTTTGACTCACCGGCAGCTCTCTATGTAAATGAGCAGCTTTCGAGAGAGAGCTTTATCATTTTTAAAGAAAAAGCATAAAACACTCTCTGCGGTGTTTACGCGTCGTGAGATCGTGCATGTGAAGTGCACAGGGAGAGACGATGTGTACATCATTCAGCAGATCAAAGAGCTTGCTGCGATCATGGTGGAACTATACAAGGTGGTCTCGTCAGCTTTGCTGAGGACGTTAACCCTCTAAGACTTGCGTGCCTGAAGGCACGTATTACGTTTTTGGTCTTAACAAATAAACTAACATTTTTTCAATTGTTTAAATATTTTTTGGCGGTTGATAAAAGGCAGACAAAATTATGAGTCTCAGGCTTGAAAGCTCTCCGAAGCTTCTAACGAGACTTATCATTTATTTTATGTTTTTTCGCGCGAAAATAATACGTGCCTTGAGGCATGCTTACGTCTTAGAGGGTTAAATATGTTTACCTCTCTGTCTCTCTTAGGCGATAGAATGAGATAGCTAGATAGAGACTGACATAAATAACGTCCTCAAAAGAGGGCAGCTCTCGCGACGAGACCACCTTGAATAGTTCCACCATGGGCGAGAGAGCGAAGAGCCAGTTCATGGTGGAACTATACAAGGTGGTCTCGTCAGCTCTGCTGAGGACGTTAAATATGTTTACCTCTCTGTCTCTCTTAAGCGATAGAATGAGAAAGCTAGATAGAGACTGGCACAAATAACGTCCTCAAAAGAGGGCAGCTCTCGCGACGAGATCACCTTGTATAGTTCCACCATGAGCCAGTTGAAAAGCCAGCACGAGAAGAGACAGACAGTCGTGGGTAGAGATTGAACAAAGACACACGCGATCGCTCGCGACCCCAGTCCGCCAGTCATTTCCCGGCACACAGCAACAGTGCGTAATTTATACCCGCCACAAGGAGCAGCAAGGATTATCTGCCGCCAAGAAACACAAATCGGATTTAGTTAGAGCCTGAGTGAGTAGCGTTAATATAATAATATATTATATCTGAAGATTGAAAACCTGCGTGTCTATTAAACCCCCATTCCCGCGTGCATTTTTGGGTGATCGTAGCCAGGCGCCAAGCCTCTGCCTCCACCGGTGTACCATTACCGGCGACCCAC